TGAGATTGCAGACCCATTTTCTGCTTCTCTCTCTTCTCTTTATAGAATATATATCTCTCTCTCAGCAATTTAGTTTTTTTTTTTCTTTTCCTCCACATTTTAAGCTTGATCTAGCCTTATTCCTTTGGAATTTGTTAGAATCTTGTGAAGCAAAGTCAAAGAGCTCGTCGAGGTCATCGATTTGATAGGAGCCAAACGCCATTTAGCTTAACCTTTGGATTTCGAAATTAGGGCTTTATTTTGGAAATTTTGGGGCTTTGCTTCAATTAAAAGGTAGGGGTGTTTAATTCATGCATCCTTGTTCTTTTGTGAATTTTCTAGTATGTGTTGTACTCTAGCATACCTATTTTGTGGAAACTCTTGTAAAAGTTGTTTAATTGTTGTACGTGAGATTGTGAAAATAGAAGTTAATTAATGAATTATGATGATGCATGCTTAACATGAAATTAATTCCATGTTTTATATGCTTAACATGTTAAATTATGGTTGAATGAAGGTATGTCATGTTTTATTAGAATTATTTGTAAAACATACTATATGGTATAATTTTGAACTTGTGTAAAATGATAAATGTTGGCATGATGCATTCATGCACCTCATTGGGAAGAAATGGGAATAATGTTTTGAGAAAAAAAATGAAATGGGGTTTTCGGGAAGAAGTTTTTTAATATGGTTTTATGAAAAACCTGGTCGCCTAGGGGTTACAAAAGGGTCGTGGTGTTAATGAAGCCTAGAGGGGACTAGAAAAATTCTCTTTAGTGTGGTTGAGCTATCTAGGCCCCAAATAACGTCACGGGGTTACCATGAGTCAGGGACAGTAGCCAATCCTCGTCTCGTGTAGCTAGAGGGTCACCGTGGGACGGGTTTCACTAACGGTTTGGAAATGATGATGGAAATGGTTTTGGAAAATGGGGAGTGACATCGCATGATATTGCACCCATTATACGGCATATCCATTCATAACTTGGTTTATAAATGTGATATTGTGATTATTTTTCTCCCGGTATAGCATGATCCCATTTTTTATATTTCTATTCAATGTTTGGATCCATGGGCTCAGAAGAGGTGTATCTTAGGCACCACCTACTGAGCTTTATGCTCACCCAATTACATCAACTTACAGTCCATGAAACAAAATTACAATAACAAAAGTTCATAAGTCTCAGTGCAGAAAACAATATGCTAAGTTTTACAAAAAATAGTGGGACTTAGATACAAAAATAACAAAATGGTCATCTAATCCATACTAGGTGTAATAACCCTAATTTTAAAATGATAGTCCTGGTATTTAATTATTGTTTAAAATTGCTATTGTTTTTCCTTTGGTTTGATTTACTTATTTTAAATATTTTAAGCTGCATTTGTTTACTTATTTGTTTTAAATTATTGTAATTGTTTTAAATTTATTTGGTTACTTGTTTAATTTACTTGAATTTAATTGAGTTAATTTGTTTAATTGTTTTGTTTAATTAATTGTTTTATTTTAGGATTGTTTTAAGTGAAATTAAATTTAATTGGATTCGTTAAATTATATTTAATTAGTTTCAGTAGGTTATAACGTGACTATAGTTTGTGGGGTTTATAGTTTTCATAGGCAGCCGACAGTGTATAACTTAGGTTTGTCTATGGACCGTATTATACATGGATTAGGGTTTAAAGTTAAGGTTATAAATAGGCTTATACGGTGGTTTAGGGTTGAAGGAGAAATAAAATAAAAAAAAAAACCGTAGGTTTTCTATGGAGGCATAGAGGAACAGAGAGGGAGAGAAAACACACAGAGGTTCACCGGAGAGCTTGGGAAGAACCGTCGGTGTAAGGCAAGTTTTATATCTAACTCAATCACTTAGGTTTCGTGTTCTTTGCATCACTAATTTAGTTCCAGGAAGTAATAATGTTAAATTAATATGGTTGCACTATTAGTTGTTTCAAAACAGTATATTTTCATGCCTGTGTTTTTTTTTCTTCCGTCTGTAAACTGTTTTGCTTGTTCTTGTTTTGGATGAATTTTGATTAACAAAGAATGAATTTAAATAACTTTAGAGCACATTGGAGCTTAGTTTTAATCAGTTGTGCAGTTGGTTTAGAGGAACAAAGTGGTCAAATACTGCCGGAATGCAAGGAGACGACGCACAGAGGAGGAACTGGGTCACCAAAACGCAGAGCAGGCTCCACATAAAGTCGAGGCAGCTCTAGGATTTAGTGGAGGCGGCTCCACCATTATTTGGAGGTGGCTCCACTTTGTGTGGAGCCGGCTCCTCCAGATTTTTCAATTTTTTTTATTATTATTTTATTTTGTTTTTTGCGAACCTAGACTACTGTACATGGATGTTTGAAGTTTCCAGAATGTAGTGGAAGTGGTTCTAAGGGAAATTAGTGATGTTTAAACTCTTGGTAAATTTACAAAAGGTATGAAAATTCATAAATTATCATAAGAAGCTGAAACAGGAATACAGTCTGAAACTTATTAAGGAAGGTTTCAGGTTTATTTTGATGGGGATGATCAGAATTGCTTAGCTTTGAATTAGCAGTTTTAACTTAGAATTTTTATGTTTTAAATCATGTAACAATGATCTGAGATTAAGCATGTTAATTAATATAAATTCGGTTAATGCTTAAGGTTAAACTAGTTGATATTTTTCAAAGAATTATTTATATCAACTTATGGGATGTTGCGGGGTGGTTATTAGTAAGCATGTTAATTCTGTTCTAATTATTACTATGCTTATTGTAAATTACAAAATGGTTCAAATATTCTCGGATATTTAGATTTGTTAGAGAATTAAATACTGGCTGAACTGAAACAAGCATGCAAATTATAGAATCTTGTTATGCCTATGTTTGGATAGGTTGATATTTATATGTGTTAATGTCAATGATATTACCAATAATTGGATGGATGGTGTATACTTGTTATGGATTGGTTGATTAGTTGATATTAAAATGTTTACTGTCTTATACATTATCAACACTGGATGGATGGATTGTATGCACCGGTATGGGACGGTGTCATACTAGGGGGATTAGCTCAAAAAAAAAAAATGCTAAGTCCTACCTACTCTGGATTAAGGAATGGATTAACTAAAAGTTAATCCTATTTTATTTGTAATGTCAAGGCAACATATAGTTGAACGACACTACTATGGATTTTGGAATGGAATTTAATTATATATTTTATGGTGCCACGATGTGAGCCTGAGTCTCAGAGTCGTTGGTTAGGGAGCGTATATACATGGGGATGCATAGTTGGATACGATGGTTGGAGGTGTACCCTGTTTAGGTCAGGCATGTTACCTCTACTCAGGTTGAGACCGGCCTGTAGGCCAGTGAGAGTTCTTTAGTGTGATTATATATATATATATATATATATATATATATATATATATATATATCTGCGCACTATTTAGTTATTGTTGGACTGGTTAGGATGTACATGCGTATCGCGCCTCTGTTTGGGTTGTAGTTGCGCGTGGGACTGACCCATTTCTATTTTTCAGGTACACGTCAGTTCCAGACTTAGGCGTGTTCGTACTGAGCAGAGGTTTCTATTCACTCCATCGACGATGTAGGATTTCTCTTCGTAGCTTACTTCTGGATGTCTTATCAGTTATTTTTATTACTGTTTGGATTATTATTAGGGGTCTACTAAAGATGGATTCCTGAGTTGTACCATTGGAGGTTTTGGAATTGGTTTATTCAAATTTTAAGTATTTAACTTTTAAGGATTGTCTTTTAGTTTTCTTTCAGCTATTAAAATTTTTAATTCTTATTTCATTTAGTAATCTGTGTTCATTATAACATATTAATTGTTTGATATCCCTCGGGTTTGGCCCTAGGCCTGATCAACCTGTGTCTCGGATCCGAGGGGTATCACACTAGGCCTGTGGTGGAACGTCATTCGCCACTTCTTTACCTTGTATTCTAGTATGTGAGCATGGAACTATGTATAAAACAGATACTCCTTTGTTCTGGATGAATGGAATGATGATGATGGGCTATTTTGAGGAATTTGTTGATGTTGTTGTTGGAATGTTTTATATTATTTGCATTATGTGTTGGGACAGGTTAGATAAATTTTGAAGGTCCAAGTGAGGCCATTGCATTTTTATGTGTTTAAGCATGTTGTCGTAGGATCCTTTTTAGTATAGGCCATGCCGAATTTTTTTTTTATATAGTTGTTATCATTTGAGGGTCGTTACAATCCAAAAATAATGAAAAGAAAGGTAAAAAGAAAGAGTGAGAAAAAAATCCATACATATTATATATTTCTTCTTACAATTATCCTTCACTGAATGAATTTTTTTCTTTTTGTTTTTTCTTTCCTTTTTTGTTTTTTCATATATATATATATATATATATATGTATGTGTGTTTTTCTTTTTGTTTTTATTTTTTATTTTTACAACTATTCTTGTACCATAAATGGATTTTTTTTTTTTTTAAAAAAGAAAGAAATAAAGAAAAGAGAAGGAAATGATTCATTCACCGAGTATAGTTGTAAAACAAAATATATATATATAACAAATTTTGTATTTTTCTTTTCTTGCGTTTTTTTTTTTTTTTTTTTTTTTTAGACTCCATCTCTTGTGGATGAATTATCCTACCTAATTTTTTTTTTCTTTCTTTTTTTAGAATCCATTCACGGAATATTAGTTATTATATATATATATATATATGAATTAATTAAAAGAGAAGATAAAAAGAAAGATTAAATAATTTAAAAAGGTATTTTGATTAAAAGAGAAGATAAAAAATATATTTATTTAAAAAATATATTTATTTAAAAAATTTAATGCATTTAAAAGTAACCCGTATGCAAAAGGAAAGACGCTTCCACGACAGTAATTAACACTTCTCAAGTGAAAAAAGAAAATAAAGATCCAAGCTAGGCAGTCCACGAGTTTGTATTGTCTACGGCGTTTAATTTTCCACTCTTTTACCAGCGTGTGCCAATGTGACAGCGCGAATATGCGGATACTTACTCAGGGAAGATTCGTGGACTAATTCGCATCTCTCCTCTTCCTGTCTCTCTTTCTCTCTCTGTCTTTTTCTTTCCTTTTTTTTTTGGGTTCGAGTATTGCATTATTTGGATTTTGGACGACTCAAACAACCTTCATAGTTCATATATACTACAACTATATATATATTACCACTTCTCATACGACTCCACCGAGCTGAGGTAGAGATCTCTTCATTCCATTCTCAGGTTCTCTCTCTCTCTCTCTTTCTTCCTTCAAGCAAGATATTAATGTCCAGAAAAACCCATTCTTGATAATTTGATTCTGTTTATTTTGATTATATTTACATAATGTTGTTGTTTTTGCTCGTGACTCAAGACCCACTTTAGATTTATCTGTTGCATTGTGTATTCATTGGGAATTATGAAGAATTTGAATAACAGATCATGTAAAAAGAGTTAACTTTTTTTTATAAATTTGGTCGCAGTCATCAAATTTGGTTATGCCGATAAGGTGTTTGACACTAATACCCTAACCAGCATTGCAGAACCTTTTTTTTTTTTTCATTGTTTGATTGAAAGTTGTAATTGTAATGCTAGGAGTTTGGGAACTTCCCCAATTGATTCTGAGTATCATGAAATTTGAATTCATAAATTTTCGAGTAATTGCCTTCGGCTGAGTTTGAGATTGTGTACCCTTAGGTATTGGAGTAGTCTGATTATATCCAAAGGGTTTGAAGGAAACTCTTAATCACAGAACAATGGTATTAAACATTACAAATATTTAGACAACTTAACTATATTTTATTATTATTATTTTTTTTTTTGATAAATATTATTTTTTTATTATTATTTGTTTTTCAGATTATAGTATAGTGAAGCTTTTGTCTATATTCCCCTTGTTTTACCTTTGTCTGTATAGACTTATTATATTTTACCATTCTTCAGAAAGAAAAGATGAACATTTGATGTTTCTTATTGGTGCAGTGATTGAACACTAAGTTCGCTTGCTACCTCTACAAGGTCTGGCAATCAGTTGAATTCAACTGATTGCCACTTAGCTTATGAGTCCCCAGAGTGCTTTGAACCCTAGTAGAGCCCTAGAGGGTGTGCATGGGGTACAACTTGTTCCTCATTCACCATTTGCGACGGAAAAGATAAATCAACACGGGGACTTCCATCAGGCAACTTGTGAAAATTCAGCTGTTGGAGCTGATCGGCATCTAACAGTGCAGTAAGTGATGAGGAAATATTCTGTTAAAAAATGCAGGCTTGTTCTTTTCGGATGATTGGTTCATATACTCAGAAGAGTCAGAGCCCTGTGACTTTATCTTGAAATTCTGAAGCTTCGCTTCTAGTAAAAAAATCTTCAATTGAGATGTACATTCACACTAACACTGTCTTTACATGTTTCCTCAGGAGAGTATGGCAGCAAAGACCTACATGTCTGAGGCCCATCCAATGTTGTCTGCATGGTATTATGACGAGGACTTCTTAGGTTTGTCTGATTTGCTATGTCCACCTGGTAGATATTTGCTAATAATTTTTCATACCCTTCTGGTTAGGTGATAAGAATATTGCAGAAACAGTTGCTAATGTGCTTACTTCACTTCCTTTTATTGCTCTCGGAGTCCAGGCCCCAAGGCAAGATATCCTCAATAGTTAGCATGAGAACCACCAAAATTATCTTGCTCTTCAATATGTCTGATTTTTTGCTTTGCTCATGGTGCAGGAAGAATCTGAACTGTAAGATCTATGCTAATTCATTAATTGGAGTAGGAATTGCCTCCAGTTTGTATCATTCTTCTAGAGGAAACCTGAGGAAATATTTGAGATGGGCTGACTATACAGCAATAGCTACAGCAACAGTGGTATATTCAAACATTTAATAGTTAATAAAATGCAGATAAATATATTACTGTAATGAATTTATCAATTGATTCAGTAATTTTATCAGAACAAATTCAGTAGTGCGTAATAAACCACGTAAAGTATTTCTGAATGATTACTCTCTTGTATGTTGCATAGACTTGGAGAAGAGACAAAAAACTGACACAATACAAGTACCTACTACATGGTAAATTATTAAAATGTAGGGTGCAGAGAATGTGGAATGTACATGTGTGCATGCAAATCCATGTGCAAGTATGTGCATACAGTGATCATCTTTTCCTCCTTCCCTTCCCTTTCTTGATCATCTCCCTCTTCTCTATTCATTATAATGGTTCACTCTTTTTACAGTTGTAATGTAAACATTTATTTTCTTGGGGGGTGCATCATGTTGGTTTTTTCAATATATCCTAATGTGAAGCATGCCAAACCCATTTCAGGGAATGTCTGAGGAATGCAGGGCATGTGGACATTTTAAGATTTGTTGTATACGAGTCTAGGAGTGTCTAAGTAGTACTGGTTACAAACATGGATATGGCTTCCTGGATGAGATGTCTGTACTACTTATTCTGTTGTTAAAGTTAATACTCTAGCATTCAATTCTCTTGCAATTCTGAAATCTAGCTTCAATTTGTTGATAGATGATACTACCTTTCTTTCACTAATTCTAATATTAAAAGGACAATTGTTGCCTTTGTGTTGTATCTTAGAAGAATAGCTTGGGGGTGTGGGTCCAATATACTGATTATCATTAGCTCCCTTCATGGGATTTAGGGTGACTTCTCCAATGATATTCTTAACTTGTTACTGAAATATTAGTCTTCATGCGTATGATGTATTTCAAATCATTAGGGGGGTGAGGCCATTTGAGGTACCTAATTATTACTATCCATGTAGAAGCATGACAGGGAATATTTCAAGTTATAAAGATTGGCTCTTCTATCTAGAGCCCAACACACACCCAAGTATCATAACCATAACCTGAAACCTTCATATCACTTGGACAATGACTTTTTCATAACTATGTATATCGTAGACAATAAGTTGCTCGAAATTTGGAAATAATGACTTTGTTTGTGGTGACTGTTTTAACAATTTTGAAGTATCATGCTTTGAAAATATCTCTATATATTTTATTATTCTGTGGGTATTCCTTCTTTGATATTGAATGATTTGTGGTACTAGTTACATTTGGTCCAGTTTTTTTTTTTTTTTTTTCTTTTCTTTCTTTCTTTCTTTCTTTCTTAGTTGGGTACTCACACACAAATGTTTTCACTGAGACTCGAGCCTCTGACCTCCCTTTGGAAAGTAGGGATCTGGTACCGCTAGGCCACTGGCCTGTTGGTTGGTCCAGTGGTTTTTTGTTAGCCCAGTGAAATATATAAATGATTTTGTTTTTGCAGTGTCTCTCAAGGGCACTCAGGGATGAGAATCCAAAATTGCTAATGGCAGCGTCTGCTTTGTTTCTACCTGTCCAGCCTCTGATGGTTTCAGCTGTTCACACTGGGATAATGGAGGTAGACATCTGCATCTTTACCTATGAGGGTGTGTGTGTGTGAGTATTTGCCTAAAAAAAAAAAGAAGTGATTATTTCTATGTAAAGATTTCTCTATTAATTTCTAGCTGTCCATCCTCCAATTATGTTTAAAACTTTAAATACGACCACACATGAAACTCTGGTGCAATGTCAGCTTATTGCTACCAATACACAAAGTTTTCACACATAACAATTGTAAAATGTCTAAATACGTTCAGGCATCTTTTTACTGCTGTCATGGCAGCTCCATTTGGAACTTATACTCACTAATGATTTCTATGAAATTTATTTCTGTGTTGATCATCTAAAACTCTTTCAATTATAAGTCCATTTTGGTGGGCACATTTACTGCCCTTGACATTGAATTCATGAAGAATTAAATTTCTTGACTGTTTATTATTCATCTGTTGCTTAAAGGTTTTGTGACATTTTTATGCTTGCTTATCCTTTTCCAGCATTGTGTGCTTTTCTGATTATTTGATACCTACAATAACTATCATGGTCTTCCCATGTGTTCTTTATGATCTGAACTAAAATAGCTTTATTGTTGGGGAAAAAAATTAAATAAATAACCGGGGAGCTTTGGAAAACGACAGTAGGTATTTCTTTCACATGGTAGAAGCAACATGCAGCACTAAAGTTTCTGTATTAGATCTCAATCATTGAATTGTTCTTTTCATTTATACTTGCTGTATTTTTCAACATCTGGCTGGCTTCATAGCCATTTGTCCTTTGTTTGAACTGGTACTCCTGCACACTGGTATGCATGCGGTGATGTTCTTTCAGTCGTTTTTCTTTATCCAGTGGCCCATTTCATTTGAATCCTGTGAAATTTGAGTGATGCCTACCTTGGAGCACTAATTCCTGCAACTTCCTTGAATATAATTTCTTGCAGTTGCTTGCTACCTTGGCCTGCATATTTTTTTAACCCCCTTTACTCTTTGATAGATAAGAGCACACACCCAACACACTCGCAGACACACTATTTTCCCAATGGCAACTTGACCCATCAACTTCCCATGCGGGGGGAGGAAATACTACTAAGCTAGGTCTTTGGTGGTATATTTTCTTAGCACTCCTTTGAGCTGCCCACTTCTCAGCCTGTTTAATGCAGTTTTTAGACCTATAGAGATGGCATTTGACACAAAATCAACTCCTTAACAATGACTATGCTATTAAGCCAAGTGCACATAACTTGCCTAGGGCCTAATTATGCAGGTGCTGTGAGCCTCACTACCCATATGATTGAAATGTCCAAGTTTGCTGTGATTGAGGTGTACTGATGAAGCATGACTTACAATACATGGTCAAAAAGACAAATACATAGAGATAAATATAACCGGCAACACACTGTATATATGGGCATGCCTTTACATTACCAACGAAAGCATGACTATTGACGACATTCAATGAGGATGGGCATGCAGCCTCCATTTTGTCAGCAGAACCTTCATTCGATGATATATAATGCCAACCACGTAGGACATGTGGTCTCCATTTTACCATTTACCTATATCATTTATATCTGATTGAGTTGTAGTTCCTGGTTAACCATTCTCCAGTCCTGATATATCAATTGAGACGGTGATGCCAGTTTCATTTATTGGATTCATGCTATTCATAAACTGGATTGATTTCTGATTCTATTGTTTCCTTCCAGGTAGCCTTCGCAAAAAGAGCATTACAAGATCCAGAACTGAGGATAGCCCACAATGTGCACAAGATTTCATCACTATTAGGGGGTATACTTTTCATTGCCGATGATATGTACCCCCAAACTCCATTCCTTCATGCTGGTTGGCATCTTGCCGCAGCAGTTGGTGTTGGTACCTGTAACAAGCTTCTCGAGTAGTTTAGCATTCCAGATTTATTCTTTAAATACAAATACAACCAAAGATCCTCCAGCCCAGAAGACCAACATGGGAGTAATTATCATCCTTCTTTTCCTGTAACCGGACCAAGTGTAAAGAAGAAAAGGAGGGATGTCATCTTGGATCTGCTTCTGCCACTTCAATGGTTGAACCCATATTGGGTTTCTCCCTTTTTTTTCTTTTTTTCTTTTTTTCTTTTTTTTCCTTTTATTCTTCAGTCTCTTCTACTTCAAATGGGGTGATGTTTATAAGTTTGTCACAGTTGTTGGTAGTGGTGGTGGTGCAATTTGGTGGAGGAGATGGAATATGTGCTATAAATTAGTGACAACGTTTGTTGTCTTGGATTCTGTATGAACAAATTATTAGCCACTTTGTACAACACCCAGTGGTGATAAACTTGAATTAAAAACATATCATCCAACAAGCTTGGCACAAGTCGATGATGGCTTGAAAAATAATCCAGAGTTTGAGCTGTAAGTACAATTTGTGAATTGTGCTTCCTTTGGTTCTGTTCTAATTTTGGCAGAAAAGCGTATTGTAAATAATAGTGAAAGAGCTTAATGATCGATGTAAATTGTAGTGAAAGAGCTTAATTATTGATTTATGTGAGTGGGGATTATTCCTTATTCACATAAATTTAGTTAAACGTGTCCGAGTCTTGGATTCTTGTATCAATAGGATATAAACAGTTGTTGTGTCCGCGCGCGCGTGTGTGTGGGTGGGGGGTGGTGGGCATTGTATGAAACTTTATGAGTTTCTCTTCTACTCAATATACCATCGTCAAGTCGCTTTTATTTCACCTCCCATAATTCCACGTTCCCCACCTCTCCTTAGCTTCGTTTTGTCATGTCCTCTCTCTCTCTCTCTCTCTCTCTCTGTATCCCAAAAAATTTTATAGCTTGGTCAACCTACTGTCTTCCTTATTCCTTTTGGTTTCTTCTATTTCAAACCAGAACAACCTCTCTCTCTCTCTCTCTCTCTCTCTCTCTTAGGTTGCATCTTTCTCCATCTCTAAAACTCAAGCACTAGCTTATCAAGCTCGGTTCAACTTTGCAAAGTAAAACCTTTTCTTCTTCTCTCATTTTAGAAATTCAACTTTCATTCACAGTGCTCACTATTGTTGCTAGTAGTCTACATTGTGGATATTAGGATATATATATATATATATATTATATGCATGGTAGGTTATAGTGAGTTCAACAACATGTCTGATTCACTCAAGACTCGGAAACTTCGGCCTCTAATTCCAAAGCCGCCTTCTAATGCCAGTCCCAAAGAAACTACTACACAATCTGCAATATCAAACCCTTATTGCAGTTGCATCTACAGAGCCAATCTCTTTGCATTAAATCTTCAACTGGGTATATTTTATTTTTTTCTCTCTTATTCTCCTATTTCAACTGTATTAATTTCTTCTATTTTCTGTTCTATATATCCTTTTTTATTTTATTTTTTTCCTTTTTCTGATAAGTTTGTTGTTGCTGTAGCTTCTACAAGTCATGATCAAAGTAAGATAGACAATAATATTAACATGACAGATTCCTTAGTGAGTTCACGTTGGAATCCAACTCCAGAGCAGCTACATGCCCTCGACGAAATGTATCGATGGGGAATACGAACACCGACCCCTGAACAGATCCAGCAAATTGCTGCAAAGCTTCGCTTCTTCGGTAAGATTGAAGGCAAGAATGTGTTTTACTGGTTTCAGAATCACAAAGCAAGAGAACGACAGAAACGTCGTCGTATAATAGAGTCTACAGGGCCTCAACAACAATTCATATATGGCCTTGAAAGCCTAGATGGAAAAGAATCAGGTACATAGATAACAACATACACCACATGTTATTATCACAACACAATTCTAATTAATGTTGATTTATGACATTAAAAGAGTATTAGAATAATTAGAGAGAAATTAATCTGCTTGATATATACTTTATGTTTTCCTTTATGTGTCTTCAGAGTTGAGTAGGACAGTTTCTGAATTTGGACAGACAAAGAATTGGGCAACCCCTCCAAACTACACTGCAACAGAGGTCTGTATCTGTATGCATGCTGCCTTTATGTTTTCCTTCTTCAGCTTGCAACTTCAACTTATATTTTTTATTTTTTATTACTTTTTGGATAATTAACTTCAACTTAATTAGTTTACAAAAGATATCTATAACATAATAAAATATATATTATGAGCTAAATTTTGTAAGCTAAATGTCAACAAACAACTCAACTGTTTTCATGTGAGCGGAGTTACACCACTCCCAATAATGTCATCATGATGTCATCCTCTACTTATATAAAACAGTGAAGTTAGTTCGACTGTTTTCATGTGAGCGGAATTACACCACTCCCAATGATGTCATCGTGATATTACCCTCCACTTGTATAAAACACTGAAGTTAGTCCGACTGTATTCATATGAGCGGAACTACACCACTCCTAATGATGTCATCATGATATCAGCCTCCACTTATATAAAACAATGGAGTTAGTCTGACTGTCGGAATATATGTAGGCTTCGAATTTTTTATTTTCTTTTGGTCCTATGTCATTTTCCAATTCAGATAGAAATATATGTATATATATATATATATATATGTATGTATGTATGTATATGTACACACATACATACAAAGAGCAAAAGAAGTTATTGCATGATGGAAAAAGAGAAGCTTAAAAAAGTTGCATTACTTACATTCTGTTGGGGCTGTTGTTATGAAAGTTGTGAACTTTTTTAATACAATATATATTGTAAATTAATGAACTCTGCAATCACCTTTTTTATCGTTTAGGAATGTGTATCAATGCACAGTAGAGCAGTAGGAGCAGAGAGTAGGGCAAATGGGTGGACTCTATTTGAGGAGAGAGAATTACAGCAGATCAGCCAAAGCAGCAGCAGCACAGTAGCAAAGAATGAAAGGTGGCAGATGATGGAGCTCTCTCCCACCTACCTCTTAAACACCATAACCACAACAAAAACTACTCTACCAGAAGCTTTAGGGTCAATAGACCCTCCTCCTAAGCTCTTCAACACTACTCAAGAATTCAGCACTGTGTTGACTCAGAACAACAATATTAGGAGAGAATCTCAAAGTACACTTGAGCTCTTTCCTATGAGGAGTAGTGACAATTCTGATCTCCTTAATGTGGGCAACGACACTACTCATGAAGTGCCCATTGCAACCATTAATGCCGACATCATTCCGAATCAGTATTTCGAGTTCCTTCCTCTGAAAAATTGAAGAAAAAAAATTGTCTGTGTTTGGGGTTTATAAAGAAGTTGGGGGTTAATTTCATGTGAAACTCTTGTTGGAAATTCGAAGAGTTCGTGTTTTTACTGCTTATAGCATGCATGGTGCTACAATAGGCTAATGACATGTAGTTGTGTGTGATGGTGGGAGAATGTTGCATTAAATTACAACCAGAGTCATGATCGGAGTATTTGACAGATGGATAATTTTGATTGTTTTGATGTGAGCAAAGTGAGTCCTATCAGTAACATTGTTAGAGATCAGGTAGATAATTCTAATTGTTTTGATGTGAGCAGAGCAGAGTCTCATCAGTAACATCATCAACGTCAAAACAATTGGACTTGTTAGCGTGCAAATTGAACATAGCTCCAGAAATAAGAACTGTGATTTCTTCAATTAAAATATCGTCAATTACCAATTGGTGCATCATAGAGGACAATGTGAAGTGCCCTCTGACTTTGCTTTTTTAATTTTGATTGTTACGATGTGAGCATAGTGAGTTACATCAGTAACATTGTTAGAAGAGTCATGATTGGAGTATCTGACGGTTAGACAATTCTGATTGTTTTGATGTGAGAAGAGTGACTGATAGTTAGACAACTCTGATTGTTTTGATGTGAGAAGAGTGAGTCCCAGTTAGACAACTCTAATTGTTTTAATGTGAGCAGAGTGAGTCTCATCAGTAATATCATCAGCTTCAAAACAATAGGACTTGTCAGCATGCAAACTCTGTTAGCTGCAGAAATAGGAACTGTGATTTCTTCAACTAATATATCATCAATTACCAATTGGTGCATCAGAGAGGACAATGCGAAGTGCCCTCTGATTTGCATTTTTAGTGATGTAGAAGTGAGGAAGAGATTTTTGGAATTTTGATGAATATGATCCACAAACCCCTCATTAAATTACATTCAATTCTTCCAAGCATTTAATTGGACTCTGATTAGCATGGTAGTTGGTAGAAGTAACAGCAAATTTAATTTTGAAACAAGCTTTTAATTATGTTTGGTAGCAAAACAAAAAGTTTCTTTTTAGTTGTAGAGATTTTGGTCTGTTAAAGAGTTTTTAGTAAAAACACAAATGTGGAGCTTTTTACAAGTGAAAGTTAGAATTCATAGAAAAAGTCTATCCATGAAAAAATAATATTTATAATAGTTGATATTCTAGACAATATTTTTTTGGAGAAATATTCATTGCAACAGTTACAACGATGACGTTGACCAAAGCAAAATGGATATACAATAAAATCAAAAGGCCGGTATATATACTTTGGTGGAGTGTTTGTAGCGCACCACAATTGCAATAAATAATTTCTCACTTTTTTTGACAGGGACATAAAATAAAGTGTTTATTTCAAGCTACAGTAATGCCAAAATGAGTCATGTACATGTTCTCCAATCAAATATAATACACACAAACAACTTACCCGAAAAGGAGGTTACAAACTTTTATAGAGCAGCTAAAAGAACACAACCCTATACACAATTCACCATTTCTTGAAGTTGTCATTTTACCTCAAAATGCTTTTCTCCATTTTACTATGTTTTACCGCTTTGCACTGCTACTACCTTGAAAATTGAATTCTACTTTCCAACCAAACAATTAACATTCAGAAAGATAGCAGTAATTAAAAAGCAGCTCCCTCTTTTTCAGTTGCTTTTTTGTTTTCACCTTGACCTCAAAGTAGAAACCATATCTCAACATTGCAGAAAAGTCGTGCATGGGAACCGCCTATTCTAATGTATATGTGCGTGTATGTGTGTGTGAAAGAGAGAGTGTAAGAAATAGTGTGTGAAAGAGAGAGAGAGAGAGAGAGAGAGGATTGCCTATTATTTGCAACTGAAACTTTTTTCTCGCGGGCTTTCAACACTGGATCTGGTGTGCAGTATAGACCAAAAAGCATGCTCTATATATATATCTATATATATACATATATAGATATATATATATATAGAGAGAGAGAGAGAGAAGCGCATATTGCCGAGGAACCGACCGGGTGATCTTAGAGAGAATCTCAAGCAGCCTTCCTCCAGTTCAGTGCCTTCAATTTTAGCCTAAAAGAGGTTGCCTGACTCTGTCCTTCCTCACTCCCCTGCTTTGCCCCAATAAGATGATAACCACCCTTCCTTATACTTGCAACTCAACCAATAATGATTCAATCCCAGCTGGTTTCGTCCTCAAAACCATACCTTCATTGTACCGATTCCTCTTTTACACCCATCCTTCATTTACCACCAACCCACCCTCAAGTTTTTACTGTCACTTTTTCCAACCCAAAAACACAAATAATTGAGGAGAGAAAATAAGTATATGAGTAAGAGAGAGTGTGCATGACAACTTATTTGGCTCTATGTATCAATAATATTTTCGTTATTAGCCTATAATGTTGAGTTTTTGAAGCTAAAAAATGAACAGCCCCAGTTTTAATCTATACCATACTTACCACCGACCATATATGGACTCAAACTCGATTGAATTTCTAGAACATAATAATAATAAACTAAAAAAAAGGAATTTACAGTGAGAGTTAATGAATCTCTCTTATTTAAAGCAAACTTATCCCATAAGTACCCCAAATGGCCAACATCTGAATGAACTGTAGAGTTCTCTCCACCAGCATTCCCTACCATTGATGAACTCGTAACCTACATTGGAATCGAAGTTATCAACCTGATCCACCCCTCTTAAGGAACTAAGAGAACTTACATGGATATAAGCGTATTTTACATAGATATAAGGGTATTTGTCCTTCCCAAGCTCAAAAGGAAAAAGGATTATTCTACAAGCCTGATGCTAAATAATAGCTAAACAGAATAGAAATAAAATATTCTGCAAAAAAGTGATAACAGAAGTTAAATGACATAGTTTTTAATTATATAAATTTACAGGATTGTTATACTGGATAAAACACAAGCAAAAGCAGTTAACAATACCCATAAGGGCAGAACTGAGAGAACATCATAATCCTGAACCAACTAAATACACATGTTCTTTTATTTATTTTGTAGGAAGCACAAATTCTTTGATACACGTACCCTGGAAGGATACAACCGTGTTGAGATTTTCGCTTCAGATGCATACATCAGAGCTTCATGTAGTTGACCATAAATGGATCATCTGGCAGATCAAGAAACGTAAAGGGGCTCAGGAGATACTTTTCTTCTGATCCTGAAAGAAGATTCAAAAGAACAATAGTCAATACCTTGAATAACCTGTTGCAATTATACATATATATCCCATCTTAATAACCTGGCCAGATAGGTTCAACTGGCTCCGCTCAAACAGTTTACTTTTCCTTTTTCTAACAATTGTAGTGTAGCAGAATGATTTCACTATTTCATTCTAAAGAATATTACTCATCAAAAAAAGAAATAAAGAAACAATACAATCATAACATACACGATACTATTTGACAAGTCCTAATAGAAAATAACAAGTCAGTTGTAACACTATTCTGAATGCTAAAAATGACTCTGATTATTTAAGGCAATAACATTCAATTGTATCTATGTTATCATTCAAGTATTTTTCGCTAAGAATCTCCCAACATCTCTCCTCACCCCCAAGAAGAATAATGAATGCATAGAATAACTAAAGTTCATTGGTGCAGGTGACAGCCAAAAGCATATGAAGTTTTGCTCCAGATAGTTCAAGGGAAAAGCATTAATGTTAAATCCTTCATTTTAGAATGATATGAAACCTGAATACAGTTTCCACTTCCGAAAGTTCCACCAAAAGGTTAAAATAATTGGTTCTCAATTTGAGATCTACCCCAACTAATATCAAGCTATAAGAAAGCCATTAACAGTTGCCCTTGCAAGTTAATATGAAAGAAAGATCATCTCAATAGAAGTACAAACAGATGAGCCACGGGGAAAATTTGCAATGGATACCACTACTTTGCTAAGCCATAGTAAAATCGCATATATTATAAAATAATAAATAAATAAAAGAGAGAAAATGCATTATCATTCCTCATCATCCCTGAATACAAATGCCATGTTCTTCATGAAAAAACAATGCAATATATCAAAGAAACAACTCCCAGCAGAAACCGGGCATACAAGGCGTTGTAATAAGTTTATTTTCCTTTTCTTTTTTTCATTGTTTGGATTGGGGGGAATGGGAGAGAAAAAGAGGGAAAATACTTATACTTATTGCCCATTGAAGCATGTAGTGTGTGTATAATATAAAAAAGAAATCATTTCCAAACATCTACATATACATATATAACAGGGCTTTTGGAGGAATCAGTTTGCTATAGACGAAGTATATCAACTCTACTTAGCAGTCAGCCTGTCAAGGAAAATATAGAAGTTGGAAAAGACACCTATAAACAAGAAAAAAATAAAACATGGAAAATCCCTTATTTACTCACCAATTATCTTGAGCCCATTTGCAGCCATCAGTATCCACCACATGCAAGCTGTAGGCATGCCTTGATTTTGATGACTGGTTCTCATAACTGAAGGCCAAGCATAGAAAAGGAAAAATAGGGAATGTTTTTCAATTAAAATAAAAAAATAGTGAACTTTGAGACACTAAAAATAGGGAATGTTCTTCAATTAACTGACCTCTGATGAATAAGATCACCATGAATGACAACCAACGAGCCAGCTTTCACTTCAATAGGCACAAAATCTTTTTGGTCATAGGATGGGGAGGGCTTATCGAAGTGAACCCCATTCTCATCTCTAATGAACCTTCTCACAAGACCATCTGAGGAGAACACAAATACAAAGAAATTACATGCGTATATTATTAGATAGGCCTTTTGATGCTTGACGGGAAAGAAACACAAACCATACAAAAGGAGGAGAGTTACCCTTTTGAGATCCAGGAATGGCCCAGATGCAACCATTTATTACTGTTGCATCTTCTAAAGCAAGCCACAACCCGGTGCAAGTTGTTGGTTCAGTATAAAGAAACGAGTTATCCTGGTGCGGCACTACCTCACCCCCAATACCTGGTTGCTGAAATGAAATCTTTATAAATTACTTCATACACAGAATCTGTACAATGTAAAACGCAAGGGTGTGTATTATGTACTTTTGAAAACTGATGAATAGTATAAACCAAACAGGATATGACTTGCATATGCACAAACCAAACTGATGAATAGTATAAAGACATATACAAAATTTTCATCTAAATTTCTTAACGATGGTACAGATTGAAAAATCAAATTTGATAAGTAATACACATGCACCTGTTTCCCAACTGGTTAGTGAGTCTAGCACCTCCTCTTTGGGGTGACAGGAGATACAAGCTAATAGTTGGAGTAAAATCTTATTTTACTTTGCAATTTTCTTCTTTTATATGTTAAAAACAATCTGCTGCATGCTTGACCAATGGCAGCCAAGTGAATAAAGTCAAATTGACTTTCTTTTTTCGACAATTTGGTGTAGCTTTCCATGTGTGTCAAATGCAGCTCCTGTTAAAAAGTATTTGTCATTTGTTGGGAAGTGTCCAAAAAGTGTTGGCCCAGCATCACGAATCGTTTGGCACAGTATCACAAATCGTAAAAATTATTTCAAAAATAGTTGTTAAGCCCATTTCTATGAGAGCCAAGAAGTGTCATATCCGACACGGATGCAGTTCCTTCAAATTACACCTTTAAAAAAATTGTGCTCTAGTTGCACACTAATGAGAAGTCCAAATTTAACACATGGACATGTTGCAGGTCAGGGAAAAAAATAATAATAAATAAATAAATAGACTAACCATAGTCTGCTGAAAAGTTGCAGTAGGGACACATAAAGTATTTTTTACTTCTATAGAAGAGCAAATAGACCAACTAAAGGCCATCTCTATCTATTAAATATATGATTCTGTAATCAAACAATAGGATCTTTAACAGAAGATTGCAGTTATTGTTACTTTCACCGTCCGATAAAAGGAAGATCTGAAGTCAAATTGCATCAACAGAACTAGTATTGCTACTACTACAACTACTACTTAATATATATATTACGTGATTATTCAATTCTTGTTGACCTGATGATTAAATGGCAACCTTCTACCTTTGTCATTTCTGGTTTGCTGAATGGTCTGACTTAAATAGACTCTTATAATAAATTGTGTTTTCCTCTATATTTATTGAGTCTGCTGGTTCATCTAACACATAGCCCAGACCCAAATTCAAAACCAAGTCCATGTAGTTTATCTGACAATAGTATATTACACAATTTGGAGAGCGAGATACACCTCAAATAGCTCAAAACACACCGTATAACACAAAATTTATTAACACACTTAAAAAAAAGTTCCATTGCCATAAACTCAAGTTTTTGTGGCTTTATGGGTATGTGGTTGCATTGTACCTGAACTGGGTGGACATATAGAGGGAATTTTGACATCCAGATCTCTTCTGTGGGGTTCAGAAACCTTTGCGTTACAGGCTTGTTAATTAACTCCTTTCATGTATTTACTGCTGAATTATTTGCTGTTACTTGTTTACTTCTTACTGGCTGTTTGTTAGTGGTTCATTGTTTTGCCTTGTTTGTTGTTCATTTGGCTGATGTATAATTCCTTGAATCTCTTACTGAGGAATTTTCCTCTTGTTTGCTGGCTGCTTGTGCTGGCTAAATAAAATGTTGACTTACGAAAAAAATAACATAATAAGCTCACTGTTTAATATATCCCTAGTGGTATCTCCTCTACCTTCTAAAGGGGAGGTGAGGGTTCAAGTCCCCGTAGGGACAAATGTGTGTGATTTTCTTGCCAGTGAAATTATATATATATATATATATATACCAATTACAAATTCACAAACAACACAGAAGTGAAAAGAAATCTGCCCAGTGCATTTTTTTTGTTTTGAAGGTGGATATACAGATCTTCTGCAATAGTTTAAGTCAGAAGTAAAAGCAATAAGCATCAAGTTTGGAATTACGTTTACCAGATAAGGGGACATGCTCAAGCCATGCAATGCAAAGCTTTGCACTAAAGTTGTAACTAGGTGGTGCATTTCTATGGCTAAGGTGAAAATTTCCAACATTTTTTTTTTGATAAGTAAAGAGAGGGTTTGGTTAATTTGGTGATACCATAGCTCAAACCCACACAACCAAGCAAGCTCCAGAAGAAGCCTGACAACTGTGGTACTCGATACTACGGTGAAAATATCCCCCATGAGCATAAAAAGATTGCATAATGACATTATGAGAAAAACAAAGCTCAAAAATCATCAATGAGACTGAGAAGCACCTTAAATATGTACATTGACTGAATGATTACAGGCCTCTTGTAATGTAACGACGACAGTAAACCTGTTAGTTTCTCTGAGCAAGTAAAAGTTTTAAATACTGGATCAATCTCATGCAGCGCTGCACAAAAGGACCACACAATTCAATCAGAAAAGCTTAATAAATTTCAGTGTAGCAACTGGAATCTAACAACATATCAAATAAATCAAATTTCTGAACGACTGATAGAATCGACAACATATCAAATACTTCATCCTATCAAAACAAAAAGGTAGACTCAGCATACCATGTCCAACTTTGTTAATGGATAATTGCTTTGCTTGCTTTAAGGCACCATCGTCGCCAAATGCTTTCTCTGTTCAAAAGCACCAAACATCAGTACAGTGATCTAATTCCAAACTTCAGAAAAGCAACAAGAAATCAAAAGAAAGTAAAAATTGGGGATTTTTTTTTTTTTTTTTTTTTTTCAAATTCTAAGGTATTATACTATACTGTAAGTCTGATTGGATTTTGGAAGAACTTACTTTTCTTTCAGGAGCAAAAGGTAAGTGTAATTTTAAAATTTTAAAATAAAAGTAAGTACTTTAAAAATTCTATCCAGACAGAGTCTAAAAGTAGTCTATACAAAAATATTCACCAGAAATAAATGAATCAAAATTAACAACATTAAATTTAAAACCATGACCCGAGAGGCTTAAACACTGATGCCAAGATATAAAAGGTTTCGCATTGTAATACCCAAGGAAACTTGACTCTCCAACCTCAACATGCTGAACCTCTATTATAAAATTTTCAACTTTCACTGTTGAATCAAAAAGTAAACAATGCCATGATTTTATAGTTCCTAGACCACCGTAAATTCAGAATTTTCAAGTGAATCTAAAATAAAAAATGGAACTTTATTCCGAATCACCACTACCACATCCTCTTCCTAGAAACAAACAATAGATAATAAAGGCATCAACAAATATTAGAGACTTTATCAACAAAATCTAACAAACCAAAGACAGTGATGGATACAGATATGCAGAATTGACAACACGATTATAAATTAATACCTTCAAAGAAAAATGAAATCTTCTCAGCACTCTCATAGAAGTAATTGTCTGTCGATTGTTGCTATGGATTAAAAAAAAAGTCAATGAAATTAAATCCACTCTAAGCATAATTTTTCATTAGTTTTGAAATCAAGACACGATAAAAACCTGGTTCTTAGTAGAGAAAATTGAGGCGGTGGATGAGCAATCAAACCCATCAAGCAATTGGTCCATTCTCTTCCTCATGGCGTCGATTTCTTCTGAGCTCGAAAATGATTCAATAACTAAATATCCTGTGACATTAAACTTCTCATGTGAACAAGAATACACAAATACGAAAAAAAATAATAATAATAAATAAATAAATAAAAATAAAACAGAGAGGGTTTTGAAGAAAGATACAATCTTTATATACTGAGAAAACTAGGGTTTTGATGTGGGTTACCCTGAGAGTTGAAGGACTGGAGTTGGTCGGAGCTGAGATTTCCAACAATCCCCATGACTGATTCTCTAAGGTCGGTTCGGTGGTGAGTTGAGATTTGAAATAGAATAGGTGACAATGAATATCTAATTCTATATATATACTTACCAAAAGATAATTTAAAAAATACAGAGATTATTTTTTATATCTATGTGAATATGATTTGATTTTGATCGCGGTTATTGTGGACTTGTAAATTGTGTTATCTCATACGTGCCTTGTTAAGTTGGTAAATTGATTGTTTCTTTATGTTTGAATTGATTTTGATAAAATAAATAAATAAAAGTGGCTAATTTTCTCCAACCATGATTCTTTCTCTCAATATCTCTCTCCCAAGGGCAAAGTAACCGGAAGAGGAACTTTGAAAATTTATCTACGAATTGTTAAGGGGGTGAGTTTAATATTTGGATGTATTAATATTAATAATAATTTATTTTTTTAATCTTTTTTGACTAGGCTAAAATTGATTATAGTAATTGAATTTTTTTTTTTTTTTTTTTTTTTTTTTTTTTTTTTTTTTTTGTGGATTTGAGCCAACCCATGGATCCGCCTTTGCATCTTGATCGGTTTGGGGCGATAGGATCTTCTCATTGGAGAAAAGGAGAAGGTTTCATCCAATGAGCTCTTGAAATTCATGGACATAGAACCGTTTTTTTCCAACAAAGTTCCACCACGATTAGTAAAAAATCTCTCATATTGTAATACCCGTATTTTTTTTTTTTTTATTAGGAATATATTTTTTTTATTATCTAGTTGACTTTTTGAGAAATATTAGTAATAATGGGTTTCCTTTTAAAAAAAAGTTTGAAATTTTGAAAAAGGATCCTAAATTATTTTACCTACCGGTTATTGTTACTCTTTATAAGTTTATCTTACTCGGTATATCAAATTACGATATTTTTTTTTTAAATCGAAAGAGAGAAAAGATAAGAGGGTTATGCGAGTAAGTGAAATCTGACGTTGCATACCTGCCTACAGTTTATGGGAAGAAAGTCAGTAGTCGGATATTTTTATATATGTTTACAACTTGATTTATAAAAAATTTCTTAAAGAATTAATCTAGCATGTTCTAGCGAATTTTAGCCAATTATTTGACTAAAATCTATGATCAGTGGATGTGTGTGAAATTGATGAGCAGATTATTAGGTGAGTGTTAATTCACTGTTTGATATTTAAAATAATAATAATAAATAAATAAATAAAATGCAATACGAAATTGTAGATGTAATTGTGGTGTATCTATATATATGTTCATGTAGGTTCTAATAAATGTAAACCCTGCATTGGATTTGAGCACTTGAGATATTTGTTGTCTAGTATAGATTATTCTGATTAATTAAATATTGATAGTAAGTATTTACATGTGTTGAATTGGTACTGGATTATGAAATTACTGCCAATGAATAATGGGAACCATTATTTGTGACTTGATTTATAATAGCTTATGATCACTTGTATACAGACTATATATATATATAGGTGCGGGTATCCATGTTTTCTTGGATGGAAATGTGTTGCTATATGCATCAAGATATATTCATTTATTATAAGTTTTGGCTTGGTGAGTAGTATTAATTTAAAGGACTCTTGCTTAATTAATTGGTTAAGGTATTTAATAAATGGAATTGGACTAATGCAATTTCAATTCTTAAAATTTTATTTGTATATATAAGACCTGAAAACCTTTTATGTACCAGCAAGCACTTGAATTAAATATTTAATTCATATATATATATATATATACACACACACACATATATTTTAATATTAAATAACATAAATTAAAAATGTCTTAGCTTGGATTAAATAATTGATTTACTAAAGAGATGGATATGTTGGTAGTTATGTATCAGTAGTATAATCTCTTAACCCATGTATGAGCTTTGTGATCTATATATATATATTTTTCCTGTGTTGTAATTATGAACCCTTCATCAGTAAGCTTAGATAGATGTCATAAGGAAAGTGGGATTTTCAGTTATGATTGCATTAATTGGTCGATTGCTGCATTCCTTTTAATTAGTTCAGTAATTGATTACTGCATGCCTTTTTAATTAGTTTAATTACTAAATGATTAAGGGTTAGTCTGAAGTATGAGGTTATCAGTTGGAATTATTGAATATTAATGATCTTTATTAATTCTGTATGTTTAGAGATTTATTTAATGAAGAAGTTGGATTAGTAGGAGGGGTAGTCAGGGATTGACCCTATGATAACTTTATGGATATGGTTAGGGACCTGCCTAATTGGGAGTGCATTACCTTTTTATTATGGTCATGGGTCTAATGAGCCCTTATTGTGTGGACGTGATCAGGGATCATCTGGGGAGTAGACGTACAATCCATCCACACGTGTATTTTCGGTAGTCAGGGACTATGCGATTCACACCACTTTATTAGATGGGAGTCAGGACTCATATGTTTATTAAAAATAAATGATGGTTATTTATTGAGTTTATAATTAACTGGATTATGCATCGTTAACTAATGCATGTATTGAGTTGCTTATATATATGGGAATACAAGGTAAGGTTAGCTTGCTGAACGATGATTGTGTTTAGCATTTCCTGCTGAGCTTGTGAGCTCACCCTATTATCACATTTCAGGTGCTCGTAGAGTAGGAACGTGATGGAGACACATGACGGGGACGGATTTTAACTCGTTGCATATTTATTCATTTTTACTTGGTTTTCCTTTATTATGATCATTGTAATAAAGTTGGTGATTTGTGAAACCTTATTTAGTTGACTGAGTGGTTGTTGGATTTTTTTTTATGTTAGAGGGAATTTTACCTCTATTCATTATTTGTATATGTTTGTCAGACACACGTGTTTACAAATTGGATGATGGAGATTCATTATAGTTCTATTTTATAATGAATGTATGTTGAGAATGGGTGGAAGTTATACTTTAAATTTTATATGCAGAACAAGTAGTTTTTGTGTTAAAATTTGGGGTGTGACACATATCTACACTTCTTTCATCTTATACCTTGAGGATCTATTATGTTTCACGAAAATACTAACAAATTGATTCTTCTTTTCTTCATCTCTTTAGGGTTTGGTGAACTCACCATTGACGGATCAACATTCATTTATCCGGTGACTTCTTTTTCCTTACATTCCCTATGTGTTGTTTGCCCACAATCACACACACATTTTTCTTATTTTACCAGAAGATGTATCGTTATATACACCAAAGACTTCCAAGTCCTTTATGTCGTAAGAAGTTTTCTAAAAAATTATTATTTAAGACATATTTAGGACTCAAAAGTTATTTTTCCTCTAAAATATAGTACTTTTGAAAAATAATGATAATGAAATAGAAAATGACTGGCCATACGTCCTTTCCCTTCTTGTCCTTTGTCTTTTGATGCATATTATCAGAATACTCCACATAAAATATGGAGAGGAAAAAACATTTACACAATAAAAAAATAAAAAGAAGGACATACTTGATTTGTAATTATGAAAATAATTTTTTATTCTTAAAAGAGTAAAAACTGAATTAAAAAAATTATTGCTTGGTTTAGTTTTTTAAAAACTGTTTTTTGAAAACTTTTATAAAAATGTCTATATTCAGATAATAATCTTTTATAATTCTTTAAAAATTGTTCTTTAGTTTTTAAATGTTTTGTAACTATTTTCATAATTACAAATTAAGCAGATCCGAAATTTCTGTAGAGGCTAATCAAAATGTATTTATTTAATCATATGCACGTGAGACAAATGATCTGTCATGAATTAAAAATCACATATAAGTTAGACTAACTGAGTTGTCTGAATGGTTTGGTAAATGTTTCACCACCTTAATTCAATTAGTTTTTCCGTGTTTAGAGCTCATAAAGTACATTTCTCATTACTATCTAAATAGCAAAGATAATTTCAAAGAGTTTTTTTTTTTTCCTTCCCATTTCGAAAAGTGCCCATTTGGCCATAGGGCAATGATATTTACGCCATAAAATGTGAACAAAATAAAGAGCGAACACCTTTCATCATACACTCAATTGCATTCCGTAACTCCTCGTTGAGCGTTTACATTTCCAAATTGCATTTGGCAACACCAAATTGATTCTCTGAATTTGAAATTTAAAAAAATAATAATAAATAAAAATTAGTTGAAAGTTTTAACTAATTTCAAATTCAGACGGTCAATTCGGGACTCCCAAACATAACATATTTTGATAAAATAGAAAAACATATAAAGAATCTGGTTAGTTATAAAACTCTGTGTATACACAACTTAGTCTCTTAGGGCCCGTTTGGCATGCACTTTATTTTAGGCGTTTTGGTTTTGGCTAAAACAAAAACATTATTTTTGTTGTAGGAGTGTTTTGGAAAAAAATCGGAAGCGCGTTTGGAAACGATGTTTTGCTGTGAAATGTTTGGGCCGATGTTGTGCTACTGTTATATTTTTGAGCTATGAACAGTTGTCCAAACAAGAAAAAACAATTTTTTAGTGTTTTGATTTTGAACCACTGTTCACGAAGTGTTTTAGCACTCTATAAAATAAAACAAGGCCACATCAAATATACTTTTGTTACCAAAATCGACACTGTAGCAGCCCAAAAATAAAAATAGTAGAAACAAAACGCATACCAAATGGAATCTTAGCTCAGAGTGTTACCCGGATAGATTAAATAGGGCCAGAATTTTAATTTAGTACCCTTCTGGGTCATTCCCGTCTGAGTAAATTTTAATATTGTGACTACTCTACAATCTCCATATCTGTGATATGTGACCAGTTGCACGATCAATAGAACTTTTTGCAGTGTAATTGTGTGCTTGAGTGGAACCAACATGCAAGGCCAAAATAAACTATATTCCTGAGTTCAAGCAAATTTGTATGGATGTTCTCGATGTGGAGCCAATGTCGAGATCCCCACAAATGCACTCATCTGTATGTTTTTGTCTGAGGAGTCATAGCAATTAGCAACAAATCCAACAACTTTTAGCAAGGCCAAAATTAAAATAGTTTTAGCAATGCCATTTAAATGGACCCAAGGAAGAGTGTTGTAAATGCTTACGTGGGGTCTGTGTATTAAATACTCACTCTGTCCCAAAATAAATATTTATGTTTGAGGAGTCATAGCAAATTAGCAACAAATTCAACAACTTTTAGCAAGACCAAAATTAAAATAGTTTTAGCAATGCCATTTATTCTCAAGGTTTTAGCAAGGCCATTTAATGGACCCAAGGGAGAGTGTTGTAAATGCCGATGTGGGGTCTGTGTATTTTACCAGAAGATGTATCATTATATAAACCAAAAACTGTTCTTATTTTACCAGAAGATGTATCATTATATAAACCAAAGACTTCCAATTCCTTTATGCTATACAAAGTTTTCTAAAATGATAATTTAGCTTATCATTTTAATGGACCCAACAAATCCAACACTGTTCATTTAATGGACAGTGTTCATTTACCAGAAGACGTATCGTTATATTATCCAACACTGTTCATTTTAGCTAAATTGAGATAATTTAGCAAAAATGATAATTTAGCTTATCATTTAATGGACCCAACAAATCCAACACTGTTCTTATGTTATCAGAAGATGTATCATTATATAAACCAAAAACTTCCAATTCCTTTATGCCAACAAAGTTTTCTAAAATGATAATTTTTTAAGACATATTTGGGAATCAAAAGTTGTTTTTGCTCTAAAATATAATACTTTTTGAAAAATAATGATAATGATATAGAAAAAGATAGGTCACATACTTCCTTTTCCTTCACGTCCTTTGTCTTTTATGCGAAATTAGCAAAATAATCCACATTAAAAAAAAAAAAAAAAAAAACCGTTATTCATTAAAAAAAATGGAGAGAAAAATATGTGGAGGCAAATCAAAATGTACTTTTTTAACAATATGCACGTAAGACAAATGAGTTGTCGTGAATTAAAAATTACATATAGGTTAGACTGATTGAGTTGTTGGAATACTTTGGTTCTTTTTGTTCCTCCCATCTATTCCTTCTTTTACACTTTTGTGGTTGAGTATAAGATTGTAACTAGCATGCTGATGACCGAATATTCTTCACTGAGTTTGTCAAGAAAGTAAAAAAGTCGAGGAAGGAAAACTTGTGGACGAATTGGCATGCTTCTGACTTAGACTGTCCTTTATCCCTCTACTTACAATCAGCAAAGAAAGAAAATGGAGGATATTTAAAGTTGAGCTAACCTTTTTTTGGCAGAATTTATTGGAGTAGCAGTGGTTGTATTGTTGTATAGGTAGCTTGTTGGCATTCCCTTATGTTGCCTCTCATTTTACAGTCTATATTTGTAATCTGCAGCTAGTTTGATTGTCATTGGTTCAGGTTTGTCAATATTCTTGTAATCATATAAAGATCATATAGTTCTCATGATTGTGCCCTATTCATTTATAGTTGTTGTTGTTTATGATTATTCTCTGCACATCAATGCTTTGTAGTTGAGGAATTCGTATGCATTGGGCATTGAGGTTGTGTCATCTTCAAGGTTCCGAATGATGGAAGCTTATAAAGCTCTATGCTTGAAAATGAAGTGATTTGAAAAAGGAGCCTGTGCTCGTAGTTGGCCAACATGTTTAACTTTGGTGAAGCTTCACTCCCCATCATTCTCATAGCTTGTGCCTATAGTACTACGACTGCATCGATGTCGTCTCTTACAAGTAATTTGGGTATCTATCCTTTTATTGTTGTTGCCATTCTTTTTTTACTCAAATGAAGAATTTTAGACAAGCACAATAGAGGCGATGTCCTTTAAATCTATTAAATGAAGCAAACAACACAATCCACTTCGACAAAGTGCATATTTTCCGTTTTTAAAGATAATGTGAGGAAAGTTTCTAATGATATAGGGTAAACAGAAAATAATAAGATTAATTCTTCTAAATGATCACATGAGAACGATTAAACTAGATTTATAAAGATATACAAAATAGTATATATTTGGTAGCATGTATAAAACTTATATAACAAAATCTTCAATGAAAAGTTAAATTCGTGAAAGAATAGGTAGATGTCAAGGTAAAGAAAAACAACCAAAATGGCATCTAATAATTCATTGTTGAGGTTTTAAGTTCAAGCCTTGATTTAAGCAAATATAAAATATATCCACCATGCATGGTTTGAGACTTTTGCTAAATTCTCAGGCTTTCCACAATATAATAATCCTGGATGGACTTGGAAACTGACATGGATCTATCATGTACCATAGCTATCTTGTACATAAATATACATACATATACATGTGTATATGTATATACAAGTGCAAGCCTGCAAGGAGTCTAATAATTCGCAGAATATAGATATATATATAGATATTGAATCAAGACGATATATGTTTTAGGAGAGGCACACAATTATCACACTAACATTATTACAAATTACCAAAAATATATAATATATATCATTGTCTAATTTATTTTTCTGAACTTTATTGCAGTAGTGATCCTTTTCCATCGACCATTTACGAAAACCCACTGCTCACTCTGTCTGCTTCCACCTGAATCTCATTTGCTTCAATTGAATTTAAAACCTTGTGGCAAAAAGGAAAAGGAGAAAAAAAATGAATTTGAGCCCCTATGATGAAGAGAACTATGGACAATTATATGGCAGAAAATGTAAGTAGATGTAATATTGATTTTTTATGTACATTAAAATGCAATAAAATTACTTAATTAAGGTCATCTATATGATTCTTCTTTATGACATACGAAAACACATTTGATGTCTTTTAGTTCATATATACTACTTCCTTGGGTAGCTTCATTTAAAAATAAAAATAAAAAATAAAAAACATTAAAACTGACATAAAGAATAAATAATTAAATTATTCGTTATTATCATATTATGCTAAGAATGAATGGTAATTGGTTATATATTCTCGATGCTCTGATTATAATTGAGAAAACCATGCATAGGTCAAGCACTATGCTTAAGAATATTACTATAGTAAATTCCCATTTTCAATTTGCAATAAGAGAATATCTCAAAAGTTTCACATAGACAAAAACCAAAGAAGCAAAAATCAAATACCCAAAGTAGTCATTTATAGGAGCTGAAATATATAGTTCATTGTTTAAACTAGATATGTGCATGGGTGTATTCATGTGATAAATATATATATATATATATAGACATGTATGCGTGTGGGTGTGTGTCTGTATATGTGTTTGTAGAGAGAGAGAGAGAGAGACTAACCATTTTAGAGAGGAAATTATCCTCCCATTTCATCTTTGTGGAACTTTCTCCGCATCCAAGTTGCCTTCACTGCAACTGCCACCAGTAGGTTGTCGCAAGTATTCTCCACAAACTGAAACCACGCATACCTCCAAGACTTTTTGAAATGCAAAATGCCACAAATTGTCAAGAAGCCAACCAAGAAACCCGGTCCAATGGCAGTATAGAATGCCAGACGTTCTTCCGACTCAGGAACATGTTGATCATGATGATGATCATCAGACGAAGTATCACTAGGGCAGCTCTTGAAGATTTGCGGTCCACAAAGCTGATTGTTACCCATATAGATGGATGGATCATTGAGTGTTTGGAGTTGATTTCCTGTTGGTATTCGCCCTGACAAGTTATTGAATGACAAGTTCAAGTAGCTTAAAAAGTTCACAGCGGACAAGCTTGGAGGAATGGAACCAGAAAGTTTGTTTCTTGACAAATCAAGTGATTCCAAAGCTTTCATATTTCCAATCTTCTCTGGGATGCTTCCATTTAGATGATTTTTGGATGCGTTGAAACTCCGCAACCCAATAAGATCCATCAACTCTTCAGGAATCTCTCCAACTATGTGATTGTTTGAAACATCTATAGATGTGAGAAATCGGAGTGTGCTAGTGTATTTAAGTTCAACTCCTTTAATGTAATTTAAAATGCTCTCTGTGTATTGTGAAAACCCATCATCTATATCTGTCGCATTGAGATTCGCGACCATGGCAGTGAAGTTGGCAAAGCAGCGAGGAATACTTCCAGTTATATAGTTATGTGACAGGTCTAACACTTGAAGAGCAGAGATGTGGCAGAGCTGTGGAGAAATATAACCGTGGAACCTATTCGATCGAAGAATGAGAAATCGTAGATTAGACATTTCTTCAATCCATGATGGGATAATATCATTTAATTCATTATCACCTAGATCGAGAATTCTCAAAGATGTCAATTTCTGCAAAGTCAAAGGGATGTTCCCGTGAAACATGTTGTTGCGCAAATGTAAAGAAGAAAGATATTGTAGAGAACCCAAAGAATTTGGAATATGACCACCAAGATAGTTATTTCTCAGATCAAGCACTACCAATTGATCCAAGTCCCCCATGCACCAAGGGAGTGTTCCTGATATTTTATTTGTTGAGAGATCAAGTAGTAGCAGAGCCATCATCTTGCATATGTACTTTGGAATATCACCAGTCAAATTGTTATTTGAGACACGAAGAACTCTAAATGTGATATGAATATTATCATCAACGAGAGGAAAATTTCCTGAAAGTAAGTTGTCGGACAAATCTAATGACATGACATCTGACAGAAATGGGGTTAAGGGGCCCTCAAACTTGTTGGAATTCAAATATAGATACCGCCCATGGGTAGCATTAGATTCTTGAAACTTGGGCAACTTTCCACAAATCTGGTTGTGAGATATATCTAAGTGGTTGATACGAGAATACACATTCTCAAACCAGTCGGGGATGGTATCTGAGATATATGCATTGGAAATTAGCAACCATTCAACATGTTTCTGGGTTTGAAGCCATGTAGGAAATTGGGGTCCCAATTTGCAGGAAGACATAAGAATATATTGGAGTTGAAAAGGAGGAACCCATTGGATGCTCACATTCATAATTAACAAGTTTGAGGACATGTCCAACCATACTAACCTTGTGAGTTTGGCAAAGTGAAGTTCTGAAACGATACCATCCAAAGAATTGTTAGAGACATCTAACGACTCTAGCCTTGAAAGTTGTCCAAGACTCGAAGGAATACTCCCATTCAACTGATTATCAGATGCATATAAAACTTTTAATGATGAGAGTATTCCAATTGATGCTGGGATTGGACCACTAAATAAATTCTCAGATATAACAAACACCTCTAGCATCCTAAACTCTCCCAACTGATTTGGCAGAAAACCACTAAACTTATTTAATTCAAGATCTAACTCCTTTAAACTTTTTTGGAGGCAAGTAGATGTATTTCCCTGAAAAAATGGTACCTCTCCGGTGAACTCATTATAAAACAAATGGAAACTGCTCAAGCTGCAGAGATTCCTTATGGTGTTTGGTATTTCACCTTCTAACTTGTTGTGAGAGAGGTCAAGGACAGTAAGTTGTGTAAGATTGCCTATCCCACTTGGGACTGAACCTTCAAAACTATTACTAGAGAGATCAAGGACTGTGAGAGAAGTCAAGTTCCAAAGGCAAGGAAGAATTGGACCTCCGTAACTTACACCAGAGAGTCTCAAATGAACAAGGCTGCTCATTTTACAGAACCAACTACGCATAATTGGGGAGTCAAAACTAGTCAACGAGAGATCAAGAAAAGTGAGAGATAACAGGCTTCCAAGAGTATCAGGAATTGGACCTCGTAAATTGTTGAAGCCAAGATTGAGATGTTGCAAGTTGGAGAGGTTTCCAAATTGAGGGGGAATTTGCCCCTCGAAATGTGAATGAGAGAGGTCAAGATATCTTAGGTTCTTAAGGGAGCCTAGGAATGAATAAGCATTAAAGCTACCATCAGCAGACAAAATGTGCCCCCAAAAATTATTAAAGCTCAAGTCGATGTAATGCAAATGCCTCAGATTGAGAATAGAAGGACTTATCTCACCTTGCAAACTGGCTCCATCATATTTTTTCATATAATTGCTGTCACTGTAGTATAAATATTCATCGTACGGAATTGGATTGTGTAGATCAAGCTTGACGACTCTGCGTGTCCTCTTGCTGCAGCCCACTCCCGTCCACGTACAACAATATTCTCCAACCCACGACGACAAACGATTTGAATGATCAATGAGAGATTCCCTCAACTTGAGGAGACCTTTAAGCTCAACCTCTGTGCAGCTTACATTTGATTGATTATCATCTCCACTGATTTGCAACCCAACACCAACTCCCAATGCTATGAAAAAAAGAGCAAATATGAACAATATCACAACAACACATCTAACTTGTGTTTCCATTGCTTCTTGCAAGCAAGCATAGAAATGCAGTTTCACAAGATGATGGTTCGCAACAATTTGACATTGACTTGTGAAGTCTTATGAGTCAAGTCACGAACGGCCATTTTTTCTACTTAATTAAGAGCAACATTAATAATTCCATTGCGTGCTATGACCGTTTTTGCGATAATGGGGTCTGCAACTATTCAAGTCTATTGCTAGCTTAATTATTTGGGACCTGTCTGTTTGGAAGAGCTTTTTTATTCCAAAATTTATTTTATTTGAAGGACTTTGAAAAATGCATTTCAATAAGGGAAAAAGCTATTTCTTACTTGTGAATGTAAATTTAGCACATTCAAATTTGTGAATTCAAAGTAATTTATCATTCCTTATGACTTACATTATTATTGATACATTTTGCAAGTCTATTGCTGGCCAGCTAATATAGTTTAATTATTGATGCATTTTTTTAGAATTAGTGCCTTCTTTATCTGCTCAATTATTTAATTGTTTCTAAATGCTCGTTGATCATATTGAGACTCAAATGTGAAATGTATATATGTTTGACTTGAATTGGATATGTTGTGATGTACAATTAAGGAAATATGGTTTGTTTTATTTTATTTTATATGTTTTTTTAGTAGGGATAAAAGCATGTTTATTGAAATTAAAAAGGTTTGAAATTGAAGACAGGACTTCTAATTTTGCATTTATTATTTTACAATTTTTTTTTTAGGTAACATATATATATATATATATATATATATATATATATATTCAGTATTTGATAAAGATGTACATTGATGTTCAGGTCAAGTCTATCTGACGAAACCTATAAAATAACTTATAAAAAAACTGTAAAGTCTATGTCTTCTCTCTAATAACATAGCCATTTTTTCTTCTTAATTAAGAGCCACATTAGTTTCGTTGCGTGCTATGAGTCTTTGACCGTTCCGTGTTAATAGGGTCGGCAACTATTAAGCCTATATGTTTTGAATGGAATTGGATATGCTGTTGTATTCGATTATTGAAGTAACTATATATTTATTTGTGAAGTTCTGGCTTTGCATTTATTTCATACTTAACCAAACAATTACTGGATTACGACATCAGGCTTTTAGTGCCACAAAGTCGTATAGCTTCTCAATTTCATGAAAACCTACATGTCTAATGTATTCTTTGCATTTATTTAGTAAATTCGTTAACGATACACGAATTATATGCGTACATACAAATTTTTATTTTTGTAAATTACTCCTGTTTGGCGTGGGGTCCATGTAATGGTGAACATGGAAAGAAGAAGGCAACAGTACAAAATTGAAATGAATGTGTTGGTGAAATTGTGTAAAAATATGTATGTTGTGTATTAAGTTAGGCAATAAAGCTATTTTATTTGTACGCATTGTTATTTCCTTCTCTAAATTGTACACTTGAGTACGTACGTTGCACACACATTTGATCACCTTGACCACGCTAGGATCCATTGGTTGCGCACACATTTGATCACCTTGACCACGCTACGATCCATCGTGGCGCTGCAGGTTGCACTATTGTCTCTTGGAATTGACATAGGGTACCCTTTTTGACTCGAGTTGGATTTAGGCTAATTTTTTCTTTAGCAGTAGTACAAGAGATCCAAAAGCATTCATATTCTTATACAAACCCCTTTTATTTTTTATTTTGGCTCGCGCCCTAATTTTCTCCCACCTTGAATCTTTCCCTAAATATCTCTCCCTGAAGGGCAACAGTAACCGGAAGAGGAACGACGAGCTTGTGTTGGTGAGTGTTTGACGAGCTTTTCGGAGCTTATAGCAGCACCGAATTGATTCTTTGAATTTGAAATTTGAAATTAGAAAGAAAAAAATAGTTAATTTGAAGCTCCTAAACATGGCATATTTTGAGAAAATAAAAAAACAGTATAGAGAAGGTTAGCTATAAAACCCTATGTATACACAACCTAGTATTAGACAAGGCCGGTATTTTAATATAGCACCCTTTACGGCCATTCCCATTAAATCTGTAGTCTTACTAAACTTTAATATTGTAACTACTCTACAATCTCCATATCATACCAGTTGCAAGATTAATATAACTTTTTGCGGTGTGATTGTGTGCTTGAGAGGAACTTTTAAGGCCAAAGTTAAAACTATATTCCCGAGTTCAAGCAAATTTGTATGGATGCTCTCGATGTGGAGCCAATGTTGGGATCCGTGCAAATGCATTCATCTCTATTTTCTTGTCTGAGTAGTAATACCAATTAGCAACAAATCCAATAACTTTTAGAGGCCAAAATAAATATAGTTTTAGCAAGGCCATTTATTATCAAGGTTGTTAAAATCAGATTGTATATAGGATCGATAAAGAGTACACACGATTGGAATCATATATTGGATCGGGATCGTATGATTAGATTGTATAATTTGATCAAGATCTTATAAATGGATCGGGATTGTAGGATCGGAATCGAAGATAGTAAGATTCTTTAAAACCACATGGTATAAGAAAAATAACTCGAAACAACTTTTCAAATCAAATATCTTCAATATAAACATAAGACATTCTAACAAAACTAAGTAAATATTAAAAAAATACTAAAACCCATAAGTAGGGGTGGTGGCAATTCGTGTTCATGGGTCGTATTCGTATCGATGTAAGGATATTATACTAAATAGGTAAACACAAACTCAACCCATTAAATAATCGTGTCAAGAATTCTCCATATTAATCCAACCCGTTTATTAAACATATAAATATGTTAACCCGTTTAATGATATGTTTATTAAAATGAGATATTTAATATTTAATCAGAAGAAAAAAAAATGTCATAATTAACTCAAATATTCAAAATAAAAAAGAAAAATCATAAGACATAGATGTTAAAATGACTCAACTATCCACCGTAGTTGAATTTAAACTAATAATATACTATATATGTCATATCCACGATTATAACATATTGAGTTAAATATTGAGTTAAATAAATCATAAACGGGTTACACAGGTTGAACCCCTCAACCCTAACCCGATACGGTTAGGTAAACGAGTTAATCGTGCACAACTATTTTATGACCCAAACCCATTTATGCCAAACCCAAACTCAAACCCTTTCAACTCGTGTCGTGCTCGTGTTATAACTTGCCATCCCTACTCGTAACAACCACTTGAAATCAAATTTTTTTTTTCCTCCATATAAAAGTATGGCATAACAGACAAGCAGATAAGAATTAAAGTATAGCCTAAACAATTTAGTTGCCTAATTGTTTAAGCAATTTAGTAGAGATGTTTACTTTTTGGTTCAAAAAATAACAAAACAGAGAGAACCACCGGAAAAAATGAAACCTCTAAAATTGACAAGAACAGACATAAAAATAGAGTTCTTTCTATTTCTTGTTCTGAAAAAGAAAGAAAAGAGAAACTAAGGAGAACAAAGAAAATTTTGAAGTTCTGGGCCAAACCTTTGAATTCATTGTTGGTCTCTACATTTGAGAGACATCGGGTCATTGACTTTTTATTTTTCAATGCAATTAGACTAAAAAGTTGGGTATTATGTTTAATGAAGATTAAATTTATTTGTCCAAAATGAGGCTCAAATAAATCAAGAAAAGAACAAAAACACAATTTAATAGAATTGGTAAGATCATGCAATCCTATGAAATTTTAGGAACCTACTCCCTATCCTACCGATCCTACCCAGTTAGGTTCTTGTGATGGGATATCCAGATCGGGGTTTTAACAACACGGTTATTATTGTATGTTTCCTCAGTTTCCATACCAAAAACTGGCACAAATTTGCCAAAAGAAAGCAATGGAGGAGCAATTTACTCTCTAAGGGGTAAGCCAAACATCAAGTGGCAATGGCAAATGCATCAACAACTCATTACAACATCGTAGCAAAAAAGCATCTAAGCAAACACAACATCAATGTCAAGGCTGTAGAATGCTTAGAAAGCTAGAAAAAAAAAAAGTAAGATTTAACTTTCTTAAATCACACTTCTACGTGATATTCCAAATCCACATTACAATTAAAATCAAGGTCACAATTTCCTTTCAATTGTTTGGAATTGTCAACAAGCAAAACTGCAAGTTCATTTGGCAATTACATTCTCACCTTGCTAAAGACACATCAATGTGTGTGTCTCAAAAGATCATTGTCTAAGAAAATGTTGACTAGAAAAGGAAAATTAAGCCATATATTCGCAAGTAAAAGGTATAAAACTTAAGCATTAGTGCTCACATATAAAGAAGTTAAAAAGCTCTTCATTAGCAAATTTCAATTTCAGAGAGTAACATAAAAAGCAAAAATCCCATCACTTATAAGTTGATGTCCATAAACTAAAACTCATTACCAATTGTCCCAAATCGATCTCATTCCATAACATCATCATTAATCATGCAGAATACCCAAAACGTCCTCATCCCTGAACAAATGATACCTGTACAAACACCCACCAAAAAATAATAATCACAACAAAGAACACAGAACAAGAAAATCAAAAACTTTTTTATAAAGATAATAGCAAATATGTGTACGTGCTGTGTATGTGTGTGTATATACGAGAGAGAAGAACAAAGGCATACTCTTTCTCATCGAGCTTGACTTGGGTGCCGTCGTATTCAGGCAAGAGGACTGTGTCACCTTCCTTGACAGCCACAGGTATCACATTTCCCGCCATGTCACGCATCCCTGGTCCCACAGCAACCACTTTGCCGGAGTTCAGCTGTATCGAGTCCCATCCACACGCACCCAAAACCAATTTTAGAACCCCGAACATATGGGGAATCAAAAAATTATCGATTTAGAGAGAGAAAGTATAAGAGTACCTTGACGGTCTTCTCGGGAAGGAGAATCCCGGCGGTGGTCTTGGACGGAGGGAGGATCTTCTCCACCAGAATTCGGTTGAGGGTTGGAATCAGACGCTTCGCCATTGACTTTTTGTGTGCAGATAAGAGATCTAGGGTTTTTTGCTCTTGAAACAGAGAGATTGCCCTCTTTTAAACGCTGAGGAGATGGTTGTAGAAGATTCTAGGTTTCAGGGTTTTGATAGGGTTTTTGCTATTTAGGGCTTTTGGGTCTTGCCTGCATACAGGCTTGGTTATGGTTATAGGGCTTGGGCCAGCCTATATGCTAAAACTGGTATTCTTCAAATTCATACTAAGTTATAATGGAATCAGAGACCGTTTAAACGTCAGGTGGGCGTGCCGGAGTGGTTATCGGGCATGACTAGAAATCATGTGGGCTTTGCCCGCGCAGGTTCGAATCCTGCCGCCCACGGCTGATTATTTTTTCATTTTCCTACTTTTTTTTTTGGTTCATATGAAGTTTGATGGAAAGAGTGATGAAACAACTGGTTGATGAACATAATTATCACAGCTAGTTCAAATTTATTCCATTATGCTATTTCACATTTATTTTTCCATTTTCCTACTTTTTTTTTTGGTTCATATGAAGTTTGATGGAAAGAGTGATGAAACAACTGGTTGATGAACATAATTATCACAGCTAGTTCACATTTATTCCATTATGCTATTTCACATTTATTCCATTATGCTATTTCACTGATTTTCCTGTGTTAGCTATGTGTTACGAAATAATGATCGAGTATGAGTTTATGAGAACAAGAGAAAAATAAATGACAAGAAAAAATAAAATAGTGTACACACAAACAAGATAAGGATTTTCATTGTTCGGCTATACCTACATCCATGGGGAGAAGACAGAACAATATTTTACTATAGAAATAAAGAAATATAATACTTAAGTGACTCACACCCAAAACCCAATTACACCCAAAATTCTCTCATAATTTGCTTTTCTTTACTAGGCAAACTCACTCAATTGTTGGATGCTTTAAACCATGGAGATCAAGGCTATTTATAGCCAAAATGTCATCACTGTTCGTGGACTTGGAGACCAAGCATAATGCTTGTTGAACACATATACTTGGAGGGCAAGTTAAATAATGTCATGGGTGAGCTATTGCATGATGATGTAAGTGATGAGCTATTGCATGGTGAGTTGGCATAATTTGAGCCACAACTATCAACACTGTGGATCACACTGCAATCATGGGAATTCCAATCTCTAACATGACAATGGTGATGATAGCAATTTGACACTCTTCTTCCTCATGCCACCTTTTTAGTTGTCACCAATGTTGTACTGGTTAATTGTGGCTGACAACGTAGACTTGTAATTATCTTACTAGTTAGAGCGATCTGGTATAGAGAGTCAAGTTTGGCTCCCCTAATACAGAGTTCGACGGTTGGACAAATCTAACTAATTTTACGTGAGAATGAGCTAATGTTATCATCACATTAAGACCAAGGGTCTTGTGTTATCTTCACAACCTAACAAAATGGATGGTGATGTTCAAGTTCCTAAAAGGGTAAAGTGGGTGTGTGAGTGGTGATGCGTGTGTGTTTTTACCAACAAAAAAAGAAATCATGATATTAAGGATATTAATCACATTATAATGACATCATCCCCACTCGTATAAATCTGCTAGAGTTGTTTGATTTTAGGACTTCAAATTATATTAACCTTTGTGAATATAATATACTAACATGTCTCTGTACTTAAAGTGGCTAGTCCAGCCAATTGGTTTGACTCTGACTGACTCGCTACTTATATTATATTTTAATTTATTTTAGAGAGAGGAGAGAAAGTGGGACTCATTAAGCCAACTCGCTCACTTTAGCAAGCTTGCTAAACAAATTTTGTGTTGGGAGCCGTCATGTGACGAGTTACATATGTCTTGCCTTGCCTCGCTAAACAAAGCTTTGTCTCGCTAAACAAAACTTTACTTCGCTACAAAACAATGATATCGAGTGCTCTTATGCTACGTTTGGTATGCAAAAATGGAATGAAATGCAAGTGGGAATTGAATGAAATGATCATTCTCATTCTATTGTTTGGTTACAAATATGGAATGTGTAGGAATCAAATGATAATAACTATTCTAATGTATGGTTGGACTAGTTTAAAATTTAGAATAGAATGAATTTCAAATTGAATTATCTAAAATACCATTCTTAGTGACAAATAAATTAAATTAACAAAATAAAACTTTTCTATAATTTTTTGTTTAAAAATGGTAGTGGTGACAATGGTGGTGGAGGTGGACAGCGGTAGTGGTGTAGGTGGTGGTGTCGGAAGGCGGCGATAATGATGGTGGGTGAAGGCGGTGGTGGTAATGGTGGAAGGTGTCAATGGTGTAGGTGATGTTGGTGGAAGGCAGTGGTGTGGTGGTGGTGAAAGGCAATAGTGACATATGCAATGGTGGTGGATGTGGCGATGGTGGAAAGCAATGGATGTGGTGGAATGCGGTGGCAGTGGTGCAAGTTAATAGCGGTGGTGAAAGGATGTAGCGGTGATGGAATTCAAGAATGGCGCCGATGGCGGTGGAGGTGGCGGTGGTGTAGTGGTAGTGAAAAACGGCGATAGTAATGACGATGGTGACAATGGTGGAAGGCCATAGTGGTGTATGTGGTGGTGGTAGTGGATGGTGACGGTGGTGGTGACGACAATGGTAGTAGTGACGGTAATGGTGATAGGTGGTGGTAGCAATTATGGTAGTAGAATGCAACAGAGGTAGCGGTGGTGGTGGTGGTGGTGGTGGCGACGGTGACAATGGTGGAAGGAAGTGGAGGTGGTGACAGTGTGGTGGTTGAAGGCAACTACAGTGGTGGTGGTTACAATAACGGTGGTGGAAGATAATTAAGGTGCTGATGGTGGTAGTTTTTGGACTTGGAATATGAGGTTTTTTTTTAAACTTGTTTTTTTTAAAAAAAAAAAAAAAAAAAAATCTTGAGAATGATGGTCATCCCCTAAATTTAGTTGTAGAATGATTCTTCATTTGAGTATTGCTATTTAGCCCAAAAAATAAAAACCTACTATTTGGAAAGTTGTAATCTATTTTTTAGGTTTCATCTTAATATAATATCTTTGTTGGTTATTATAGTTTCAATGACCATGTATATCAAATTATATATGTGTTATATATATTTATGTATGTGTGTGTGTGTGTTATACATATATATCACATTGCATTTGGATCTCTAACGCATAGATACTTAAGATTACATCTCATATATATAATTAGATAGGCATTTGTTCATTAATATAATGATCAAAATTAATGATCTATGTGACTCCAGAAACAAAAACAAAATGAGGAATTTAAAGAAAAATTGCAAAGCATTGAAAAATTGAAAAATATTGCAGTTTTTGTTCTAAATTTTGTACCAATCAAATTCTTCTATTTGAGTACCATGAAAGATATTGTGAAAACCAAAAAGAAGATGATACGATTATGGAAAACTAAAAAGATAAGGAAAGGAGTTATACAAAATTGAGTAGAAAAAGAAAGAAAAATTGACGTATTTTATGGAAACAAACAGGAGTAATAATGATGCTTATCTAAGTTGAAATTTTATAATAACACGTCATATTTTTAGCTAGATCGATTTTAAGTCAGAATATTAAAGTCGTAAAAAATATCATTTCCTTTTTATTTTTAAGAATGAATTTTATTTTCAATTTAATGATCATTCTTACTCTAACTTGTATATCAAATAAAGAAATAATAGAAATAGTAGTTTGAATGTTTAACCACCAAGTATTAAAGTCAAATCTGAAACGTGGAATGTGTGAGTTTTGACTTATTGTTGTGATTTTTCAATGATGATGTATTCATATGTCATTTTCCTCACCAAAAGAAACAATTGAATTTTACGGTTAGAGTGGTTTAGAGCCCTTTAAATTCATGAAAGTTGGGATCTATGTTGATGTTTGGCTATGTATCCAAGGACACAATAAACAATTCACCCATCTTCCGTTGTTTGTTTCTTTCTATTAATCATTTCCCTTTTCCCATAAAGTGTGGATGTGTTTATGTATTCCTCTACCCATGTCATGGTTTACATTACAAAAAATAAAAATAAAAATAAAAAATAAAAAATAAAAATTGGAAACAAATACTTTTGGAAAAAAGTAGTGCTACATTTTGTACCATTTCATAAATTAAGCGAGATGGTTTAATTTCAATTTCATTTCATTTCACTCCTACCTCTATCTTAAAAAAAAAAAAAGAAAAAAAAAAAATTCATTTCCAAAATATCTCACAATAAAATAGATGTCGACAAGAGTCTCAACTCTCAATCCCATCACTCTCTCCCTTACCACGTAACAACACAGTACTTTGAAAAAATCAAGTTGAACCTTCATTTCACTTTAAATTGTGTGAAGGCCCATTATTTAACGATCCACAAAGTCAAAGTCCCACATGGTCCATATTTGGTGGTCCAATTCGCAGAAGTCCAGACTTACACCGGCCCCGCGGACATCGCAGCAGTTATCGCCTGTTCTTCTTTCTTCCTAGATACACTGCACCATCGACTGAGTGTGATATATATACTACACACACATACATACATATATAATATACATATATATATTTGAGAGAGAGAGATAGAGTTATAAGCGGACAATGTTTGTACAGATTTGCGGTGGATATGGGTAAGGGAACTCTTGTAGGAGGCATTCGGCGGTGGTTTCAACGTCACTCTTCCGCCGTCAATACTCAGAGTAACGACAACGACGATAAGAGAGATCAATTCCATAGCAACGACGTCGTACAGAGAGATCAAGATCAAGGAGACTTGAATTTCACAGATTCCCTTGGCATCTCTGGTTTGAAGCTTATAAAAGTCCCCAAACGAATCAATCTCAGACTCATCTCCACCGACCATCATCAAAAGGTCAGCTCAGCCGCTTTACTGTGTGTGTTTGTGTTTTTTTTTTTTTTTCTGTGTGATAAGATAAGGTCCGCATTTTGAGGCACGCTTGCATTTATTTCTTGAGCTGATAATGGGATAAAATTTATGATCTTTTGGATTATTCGATTCGATTTGTCATCTCACTTTTTGTTCTTTTTTAGGTAATATTTTTCAAAAAAAAAAGAAGATAAAAATTAACATTAAAAATTTCTCATAGATACCAAAAATAAAGAAAAAGCAATCCTTAAGAACTGTAGAATCATTTATGACATGTTGAATTGACAATTTCAGATTCGCCACACTCTTTAATCATATATATATATATATATATATTTGTATACATCATGACATACACGTGTACACCCATACATATATATATATATGCAATATTCAAACTTTAACTTTGATCACTTCATAGACGCCTATGTTTAGATTTATTTAGAAAGCGGTTGTGGAGCAACACCTCAAGCAATTTCGTGTTCTGACTCAAATTGTTAGCAAAGAAACAGTAAGGTTTGTTTCTGATTTGATCTTTAAGTTTTTACTGCTCCTTCATTTCATTTCAATTTGATGATTTTTTTGGAACCCTAGAATTAGTTGTTTCTTTGACCAATTTTACATAGATTTATACAAGTCTTTTTGATCCATTTATCTTGAGTTGTGTTGTATTACAAATTCTATATATCATTTAATCAAGTATCCACTATTTCTTTTACTATAGCATATAACTTGTAGAATACTGGAGTTTTTGTCTCATTTTTTGGTGGTTATGAATGTTAAGTTGAAGTTTGTTCAAGAAGATGGATTTGTGTTTTCTGTTTCTTGTCTGTGTAGATATCTAGTTGTCTATCCCTGGCTCAATGCTGGCCTTTTTAGTGATCGGTAGGAATTTTATTTCTCTAGTGAAGAATTCTACTAAGAAAATACCAGAGAAGCCTATCAAAGCAGTGGAATGGATTTTTGTCCTTACATCTGTATAATATTCTTATTTATTCAAAATTGATGTGTTGGACAAATAAGCCAAACAAGCCTTGTGGTTTTAGGATGGATGCAAGTCAGTTTCACTTGCATGTTTCTAGCTGTATATGTATACAATGTGTGCTAATTCTTTGTATATCTATGTTTTTGGAATTTTTTTATGAACACTTTTTGTTTAGTGATGTGGAATCCCGTTGGTCTAATCACTATGTTTTCTTTTGTATTCCTCCTTTAAATTCTATTTGGGGTCAATTGGGCAGGGGACATATTACACACTTTTTTTATGAAATATGCTCCTAAAGATTATACTACACTATATGTGTTTTATCACAGCTTGCTTTCCTCTACTAAATTTTGATGCATCACACAGTCTATTTTACCCATTCTTTGAAGTATGAAATCAACCAAGTCCATGTTTGTCAAGGAAGTTTAAGAATTGATGCATGGTCCTCGAGGTCCTCTAGCAACCTAACCCCTCAAAAGTGGAGAGGACTGTAGTCCCCTCTAATGCACCAGGGGGAATTACGTTTGTCTCACCCTAGCAAGCTCCTCCTGCAAACTCATCCTATCCTTTTCATCCACTGGGCCATAGATCTGGATAAGATCCACTAAATTCCATAGTTGCTTTTCTGCAACAAAGATGAAGTCGATAAGTCCCCAGAGTCACTGAATCGTAGTCATAGTTCTACTGTGCTACATCACAAGAACCCGACCTACTATCCCTTTCACCCAGCAGTTCAAACATAAACCTTGCACAACCTACTTAGTCATTTTTCCATTTCAGTATCTTGAATATGTACCAAGTCAAGTATCCACCTCCTCATCATTGACTTCACCACCTTCTGGTTCTCAGGATCAGGACCATTTGAACCTGACATATTCCATGAAATAATTCTTAACTCTAACGGAAACTTTACCTCCTTCCCCTCTTACCAGATATATTTTAAAAATCAATGCTTTTTGTTTTTCATTTCCCTCCTTTTTTTTCCTAATATTTTGCTTAGTTTTCTTTCTAGAAGTTGCTAACTATCGTTTGTTTCAACTCAGAACATGCCTGACAAAGAATTCTTCACAGAATATGGTGAGGCAAGTCAATATGAAATACAAGAGGTTGTTGGCAAGGGAAGTTATGGTGTTGTCGCGTCTGCAATTGATACTCACACTGGAGAGAGAGTAGCTATAAAAAAAATCAATGACGTTTTTGAGCATGTTTCTGATGCCACTCGTATTCTTAGAGAAATCAAGCTCCTGCGGCTACTTCGACACCCAGATATTGTAGAAATAAAGCATATAATGCTACCTCCATGTCGAAGAGAATTTAAAGATATATATGTTGTTTTTGAGTTGATGGAGTCTGACCTTCACCAAGTAATCAAGGCAAATGATGACCTCACTCCTGAACATTATCAATTTTTCTTATACCAGCTTCTTAGAGCTCTAAAATATATACATACAGGTTGAAAATTCTTTAATTGTGCTTTTAGGCTTTAATACTTGATGATGCTCACTAAAGATTCTTTATTTGCAGCAAATGTGTTCCACCGAGATCTAAAGCCAAAAAATATCCTTGCTAACGCAGACTGCAAACTGAAGATTTGTGATTTTGGGCTTGCTCGCGTGTCATTTAATGATGCCCCCTCAGCTATTTTTTGGACTGTATGTGCCTCTCTCGGGCATTTATTGCGCAGCTTAGTTTCATGTTAACAGTTTGTAGTGGTTTCAATATTAGTTAGATCGCTTTTTGTCTTGGTAATTTTGTTACTGGACTGTGCATTATTTATCTTATACAAGTACTTATTTATCCTTTTGATTATATTAATGTTTTAAAGGATTATGTGGCAACTCGATGGTATCGTGCTCCCGAACTCTGTGGTTCTTTCTTCTCCAAAGTAAGTATATACAACACACTGGCAAGCATGCTTGCAATGCCTATATATCTATATATATGTATATATATATCCTGACAAATTTATGTGGTTACTTTTTACCTCCTTGATGAAGTCAATGTTGGTACTTCAGATTTTGAAATTAATAAAAGAAATTGTAGTTCTGTGTGCATTATCTAATTCAATTCACTTTGGAATGTGCTTATCTTTTTATATATTAATATGCTAATATGTTCTGTTCCCAAGCCTGTTTTGTTAATTGTCTTCAACTTTTATGCATTTAACCAATTAAAAGCTACTAAATTTCATAATTTTATATGCCATACTTTGTCTGAATGCACTTTGCATTACTCATGGCAGGGGTGGGTAACCAGCTGACCTAAAGTGCATCAAACACCCATGTAATGCAGGGCCACAGAGTAGTTCACTGATTTTATTTCTTACCTTCGAATTGTTTCATTGATTATGATAATAGGCATATAACCCTGTTGCTTCTGCTTTGTTGTTAGGTTATGACGTAGGAGTCATTTCTTGTGGTTCTATTTCTGTGCTTGTGGTTTGTTGTCCAATCTGGCACTTTTTTATTTTATTTTATTTTTTTCTTTTTCCTTTTCGTGTGTGTGCGCCATTGCATAAAGGTTTGACCAGCTGGCCTTGATCTTTCATGTTAACTTTATCAATGGCTTCAGAGGTTGCATTATGCAAGTGCACTTGTTATAATACCTATTCTATGATATTCTCTAATTATTTCCACGTCCATTTGTGTTGCAAGAGTGAGCTTTTAAACCTCTGTCTGATTTATTGTTCACGACCAACCATTCATTTAGAATGATATAAATGAACTTGTGACATTTTGCTGTTGTAGTTAGAATCATTCAACAAAAAACAATCAAATAGGATTTAGCAATCATGTTGCTATTGTTTAAATACATTTTGTGGTCTTGATGCACCATCTTAATGAAATTATTGAATTATTTTCAGACCAAATATATCATTGATTTAATAAATTTTGGATACCCTGAGGGTTACAGATATATATTACTTATTCTTGAAAATTCTCAAATTTTTTAAAAATATTTTTAAATGGCAAGGCTTCTTTATATGGTTAACACCATTTAGCTGTTTTCTCTCTTCCTGATATCTTGATAACTTTGAATGTGTTACCACAGTTGCACCCCCGAGGCTATATCTAGGCAATTCTTTGAGTGGGTTCATGCAAGCCTTACCATTGGAAACATACGCTTCTAAATTTTGGCATTTCTGTCTTCTACTATACCTTGAGTCTTGCATGCAGAAATTTGTGAATTAGCGTAGCTGACGACTAGCTTCCGCATCTTTGTGGCCCCATTTGGGGTTATGTGAAGACATTTGTGGCTTCTGCAATTGTTTCTGAGTTGCATTGGTTTAATGAATTTTTATGAGCTACTGTTATGTGTGCATGTTGCAAAGAGGGACATGATCTGTAAATTCGAGATTTTACATATGGGAGTATATAGTATATAGTATATACTTGTGAAATCATAGCTGAAGGATGATGTTGCATATTCAGTGTATAATACTATGATAAAGTGTATTATGGTGGATCCTTGATTACTAGAAATATTCTTAATTGAATTGATAGTGTAAGGAGGTTGCTGAGTTGATGGACCTTATAATCAATCAATCAATTCAGTGTGGTGAGGAAAATCTGTGATCAACTATTTGTGGAGTCAATAACGATTTGAAATCTGCATTACCTGTTATTTCAACTTATTTGTGATGTATGATTGTGATTCAGATAATGATCAGTAATTGCCTTGTTATTGATATTTGTATATTCTCTATATAATAAGATGTTTCTTGTCTCAATATTACTCAATGTGCAGCTTTCTTTTACTCTGTAAGTAGTTTATTATAAATTCTTAGGGTTATGTATAACTTGTATGGATTTGATTGTCGACAATAACTCCAAAAATGTTTTAGTTGATTTTTTTCATTTTTTTCTTTTCAGTACACTCCTGCTATTGATATTTGGAGCATAGGGTGTATATTTGCTGAAATGCTTGCAGGGAAACCATTGTTCCCTGGTAAGAATGTGGCACACCAGCTGGATCTTATTACTGATTTACTTGGCACTCCTTCTGCTGAATCCATGGCAAAGGTTTGTCCTCTTTCCATTAGTCACTTTTGATACTAATAAATTTTTTCACAACTTTTCACCTAGTCTCTCTATGATGCTTTAGTTTTAGCTTGTTTGTACTTTGTGCTGTTATTTTCCCTTAATTTGGAGTTGTCATAATTTCTGCAGATTCGGAATGAAAAGGCTAGAAGATATTTAAATAGCATGAGGAAAAGACCACCCATCCCTTTCTCACAAAAAATCCCAAATGCAGATCCATTGGCTCTTCGTTTGCTTGAGCGGTTGCTTGCATTTGATCCCAAAGACCGTCCATCTGCTGAAGAGATAAGATTTAGTAAAACCAATTATAAAGCATTTTACTTCTCTGACATTTGCCGGAACTTTTTTTAGTTATAATTCTATATTTCCGTTTCCTGATATTGGTGATTATTTTATCTTTACAGGCATTAGCGGATCCCTATTTCCATGGTTTGGCAAACATGGACCATGAACCTTCCAGACAAACCATTTCAAAATTTGAGTTTGAGTTTGAAAGGAGGAATTTGACCAAGGATACTGTAAGAGAGCTAATATATAGAGAGGTATGACAATTGCTTTAGAGGTGTAAGTGTAACCCATTTGTTACCCACTACTCATTTGTATCTTCATTTAAAGCAAACAGATTTTGGAGTATCATCCGCAGATGCTTCAGGAGTACCTTCATGGCGTAGATCACACAAGCTTCATGTATCCAAGGTTATATTAAACAATAATTTTCTGCGAAATTATTCATATTCCACTTCATTCTTATTGTTGGAGATTCCTTTATGGTATACTGTTTATATTTCCCTTTCCCCCTTCCCCCCCCCCCCCCCCCCCCCCTTTAATTCTCATATGTGCTTTGTAATTTCTGGCAGATATATGCTTACATATTTATCCCAAAGTAGTAAGCTGTAAAGTAAATACATTTTTCAATAGATTATCTTTTAATTTTTTTATGCATTTATAGTATTGATACACTTTCCTTAATGAAATTTAGAGCTCGTAGAGCCCCTCACCACCCTGCATCACTCTTGATGGAGGATAGCTTGAAATTCAAAAATAGTAGTGTCTATGATTGATAATGTTGTGACCTTTTAAGTTGAGGATAGCATTTAGGTTAGAGTTTGTTGGTGATGGGAATTCTTGGAAAGAGATGTTTATGCACGTAGGAAAGGAGAGATGATAAATTGGGTTAGACAAGAGGGACGGTCTGGAAAGAGAAGGGTTGAGTAATAGGTCCATGGACATGAATTTTAATCCAGAGGCTCAGGTTGGTTCATGCTCTACTTTTAGCCCAATGGAATTGGTCTCTGGCCCTTATACAGGATCCTAGGGATGTGGAGGGCAACTCCGGTTAAGCCCTGAGCCAATCACAATGCGGCTGGGACTAACAGGACCTACATCACTAGACCTGCTAGTCTTGGCCCGGTGAGAGAACAATGATCAATTTTCTGTTAGGTCCTTGTGAGAGGCTGTTCTTGCTACATGTTATAAATATGATGCCAGCTCTCTCTCATTTTCTACTTCCGGTAAAAAATGAGCTTGCCACCCACTATCCCCAGTTGGGACAACCTCGGCTTGCTCCCAAACCCTAGCCACCAATCCAACACCATCCAAACCCTCTAAAACCATCCTCACATTCGATGTAATTTTGACAGGCATCGAACTCCTAGGTCCCGCAGACCTCGTCTCTGACCTGATGGGCATTAAAGCCCGTATGATTTTGGGAGATATATAGGACCAAGCCTTTTGGTCCTGTGGGTTATCCCAGCTCATGTATCCGCATAAAGGGTGGCTTAGAGTCATTGCTCTAAATTGTCACAAGGTCCATGATGATTTTGTCTGGTGCTATGTGGGGCCATATTAATGCAACATGGTTGCCAACACTTAGGTCACATGTCTGGTCCTGATTGTAACTTCAGGGCTCAAGGGGGCCTAAAAGTTGAAATAAATGTACTGAGCACTATGGATGAGAGAGAAAATTAGCCTGTTTTCAAACGGGAGAGGTTGATGGAATAATATAAAACTGTTGCTGACATATATAAGGTGATTGATTGTTAGGAAAAAAAAGGTTAGGTTATGGAGTTAGAGTTTTAGGACGAGAAATTGAATAAAATAAGTCTAGTTGTGATTAGGACAACAATCATCATCGTGGAGAATTTATTAGGAAAAATATTTCGGGTTAGGGAATATTATTATAGGAATCTTTAATAATACATTAGACTTTTCTCTTTTAGGGTTAGGGTTATACCACACAATTATTCAAAAGTTTCATAGGCTGATGTCAAATTCCCTAATAAACAGTTTGACTACTGAGGCTAATCTAAGCTTACTTGCAGCAATACATAAAAGAGAAAATCCCATTTACCACCCAAGTCCAGTAAAAAATAGAAATTCCAACATAGCCTCGACTCAACAAGCCTAAGAAAGCATTGTAATTAATAACCTGTTGATTTATCCAAAGAAAACATAAAATGAAAACGCAACTCAAACCAAAATTTGATCATGTGAGGCTCTTATTATGACTTTGCTTGTGAACCTGTTTAAATTTCCTCATAGTACTGTTCCATACAAAATGAATCAATCAAATAAAATTCTATTTAGGATATTTTTCATCTATAAAATATCATTTTGTCTTATAAAAGAAATTCTAATTTTCATATTCAAGTATATCTTGTACATACAAAAGTTATATCCACGGGGGAAAGTCCAAATTACAATATTAAGACATACACACCTCTTCCTTCGTATTTGTTGCATATAAGATCCTCATTTAACATGGTGTGAAATGTTCTCTCTTGTTTTTCCCACTCTCGTTTGAACGTTTTTTTATCTGAATATCTGGATTCATGAGATCTCGTCATCAGATTAATGACATGTTTATCCCATTTCAAATGACTGTTTTATTTATTTACTTATTAATATATATTTTCCTCCTCTTTATGAGCTGTTGAATATATTGCATCCTTGCTAAAAAATTTGAACTTTATGTCAACTTAGTGGAATTGATCGATTTAAGCAACACTTCGCCCATCTTGAGGAGCACTATAGTAAAGGAGAACGAAGCTCTCCTCTCCGGAGGCAATATGCCTCCCTGCCCAGGTGAAGTGTTCGTCTACTGGGATACCTTTTTTTTTTTTGGGTTAACGGTTGGTGATACTCATTACAGACCTTCTTTTGCACAGGGAGCGGGTCTGTGCACCCAAAGACATGGCTACTGACCACAGTAATAATTTGGAAAAACATATGATTGCTGCTACTGCTCGATTGTCGGTTCGCGGCACCCCTTGATCAAAGGTTATGGAGGTGTCATTAATTGCTAACAGGTATGTGGTACCTTTGCAGAATGGCCTAACAAACTATATTTCCCCAATGTCATTTGGTATATCTGCTCCATTTGTCTGATTTACATCTATGATTCCACAGGAGACAATTTTGGAGCAACTGAAGATTTTAGCAGCTTATCTCTCACTTTGAGTGAAAAGACTTTGATTCCTTAGCTAGGCCCCATAATTTCCCCAAATATGTGGGTGCCTGCCTAATTCTTATTATAGGTGATGCTAATTTATAATGTCATTGTTGTTGTATTATTATTGGTGTTATCATTTTACGTTGTGTTTAAATTAAGGATTGTCAATGGCAATGTGCCAATGGCCTATGAATCTGTTCGTTGCAGCTATTTAGAAGTTGGTTTTGGAGCTCTTTAGATTTGTTGCTAGACCTAGCAGAATATAGCTGATTGCTGATAAATGAATCAAAACAAAAACCATTTTCAAATGAATTGAGACAATTATTGTACCCCTTTTGTTCTATTGACAATTATATTTCTATGATTGCTGTCTCTGTAGATTTTATTTTTATTTTTAGATTTGATGTTGAATCTGATGTGACTATAGCCAAAAAGATATTAATGTACTCTAATTTAATGACCAATTAGGATTTGGTTATAATCATAAATTTTGCTATTTTTTTTCCTCTCTTCTATATTAAGATCTTTCCTTTATTTAAAAAATTACTTTAAAAATATATAAAGCAGCCAAATAAACAGCCCCTAATTAAAAAAAAAAAAAAAAAAAAAAAAAATCACAAGAGGAGCCACTGTGTCCCGCATGTGATTGGTTAAAAAACTAATCATAAAAATTATAATTAATGTCTCTTTTCTATTTTTTTTAAAACTTTAAAACTAAAATTTTAAAAACCAAATTACCCTTTCATATTTCTTCTTTCTTTTTTATCCTACTTATAACCTTCATTCTTTCCTTTCTTACATAGCTTTTTTTTTGCTCAATTGTTTTAACTATATATATATATGTGTGCGCGCGCGCACGCGCGCCAACCGTAGTTGGTTTTCTCACTGTTTCTCGCTCTCTTCTCTATACCCATGAAAAAACTTTATGTGAATTGATTTCTTCTTCTTATTTATTTATTTATTTATTTATTTTTCACACACACATATATATGGTTAAAATAATTAAAAAAACAAAAAAATGCAAAACCATTTCACACATTAACTAAAATTCAAATTTTATAATATTACCTCAATTAAAACTCAATTTCATAATATTATTTCAATTAAATTATATAAAACTCAATAAAAAAAATCAATCAAGGTGATATATATATATATATATATATATATATATATATAAGACAAAATGGGTCCTGTAAGAGCTAATGAAGTGTAGCTCTACATATCCAATCAGGAAAGAAAAAATAAATTTTAGTGTAAAAAGTTGTAATTAATGTTTATTTCTTATTTTTTTTGGAACTATAAATTTCAACATTTAAGACAAAATTATCCTTTAAAATTATTTCCTCCTTCAATATACCTAAGGGCATCCGCACTAGCCTCCCTCTCCGAATTTTTACTCTCAAAAAATGTCATTTCACCTTTTTTAAAAGCCACGTCAGCAATTCGCAGAGCTTCGTCAGCAGCTTTGGCTCTTTATAAACGTTTCATTAGGCTCTCTGAATTTTCGCTCCCCAAAAAAGTTTTAAAATTTTTTATTTTTTAACTTTTTCCTGACAGCTATAAGTGCGATAGAGTTGAGGTATTTATAGAACATAAATGATTTTTTTAAGTTTTTTTTTTAAAAAAAAAAATAATTTTTTTAAAAATTATAACCGTTAAGTGCACGTGCATAACTTAAAAAAAATAAAGCAAAAAAAAGTTAAAAAAAAACAATCAATTTTTAAGGAAAAAAACAACAAAAAACAATATATTTTTTATTCAATGAATTTTATATTTTTTATTTTAAAAAAAAGAGCTCAAAATAATCATTATTTTAGTTTTTTTTTCCCAAAAACTCATTCTGCCAAACAGTGCCTGTTCGGGGCTTAGGTGCCAGAGTTAAAAACAAAAACTTGTTTGCGCCAAAACAGCGTAATTTTGCTAAAAATAAATTCCGCAATCAGGCTCGGGATCTCGCTTTTCCGAGAGCCGGTCCGATAGCCCTTGTGGGCCCATACTGTATTTGGGCCTCTAAATCGATAAAAATGGGCTTTTGGCTAGGGCGGTGTAGGTGCTCTAATAACCTTCATTCTTTCATTTGTTACAGGTGCTCCATTTGTTACGTATATTTAACCTCTCTTTTTTTTCTTTTTTTTTTTTTTTTTAATTGTCTTTTATATTAGTTTGCGCAACTTTAAATAGCACTTCTCAAATCACAAATGAAAATTTGGGGAGAATAGTATTTTTTTAATTTTAATTAATTGTGATATATCAATAATGTCAGAAAATTATGAATCAATAACAAATTAACAAATAGCTAGTTCAAGATGCTGAAAATATTTTGATTTTGAAATAAACCAGCATTATAAGAATGTAACGCACTGTGTAAAAAGGCTTTATTGAAGAATTATTAGTTGAATTTCTTTTAATATTTGTAATTTTAAAACAGAATCATCTATGTATTGGTATTAACTCTAAACCAACTAAATTTTTGAGTCCTGTTAGGATCCAAATTGAGGAAGTTGAATTGGATTGGTTTTAGATTGAAGTTCTTCAAATTCAATTTTCCTTTCTCCCTCTGAATCAAGCATCTTTTTCCTTCAAATTCATTTTTCCTTTCTTAATTTTTGAGATCTCTTCTCAAAATGCAACATTTTTTTCAAACACAAAAATATAGAACGAAGTTATATATATATATATATATATATATATAGAAACACACACAAGAAATAAAACAGAGAAATGAAAGAAAAAGATGTAATGGCGTTTGGAGGCGGGTTTATGACGAAGGCTAAATGGGCAGTAGGCGAAAGGAAATTTGGTCGAGACCAAAGACTTCTTTCACAACTACAAACCCAGTTAAAAGCACAAAACCCGTACTATGATGCCATCATTTTCCCGAGAAAGTAAGTGGGAAAAAATTGGTGTTTAGGGCTTGAAAGTAGCGGGGCAACCAGTAGAGAACCTACGAGTTTTTACAGAGCCATGGATATGCTAATGCATAAAACTCTCCCCCTATTTGCATCAAGCCCTTTTCAGTATTGTTTAAGCTCAAAATCGCATCTGTGTTTTTGTGTGTGTGTGTGTGTGAGAGAGAGAGAGAGAGAGAGAGAGAGAGATGAAGAAAGAGAGACACTCCTAACCTAATGTTTCAGATGACTCTCTAGCTCAAAGTATTTATAGTGACCAAAGTAGGGTAATGAAGAAACGGGCTCAACCAAAGCCTAGTCAGGCTGGCCAGGAGGCCCAATTTTCTCAAGCTTGAGTCTCACCGGGTTTACTTCCAATTCTTAGGCCTGACCCAAAATTTTATAGACTCTGGGCCAGGAGTTCCCAAATGAGTGAGCCGCAAACATTGAAGGTAAACTCGTCCGTAAGCATTGAGGAAGAATGGCCGATAAGAAAGATACAAGAAATTCACATATCTGTTTACGAGACTTGGATATTTACCATTCACTTTTTAAAGTAGAAAAAAGACTATTAGATTACAAGGCTCTTAACAAAGATAGAATAGAGTTTCCTAGTTAAGTAAGGTATTTTATCCGATCCAAAATTGGATGGGAGAGAGGAGGAAAAGAAATATGAACTATTCTATAAAATATATAATGAATATTTACTCTTGATATGATTATATTATAAGAATATACGGTTGGTTTTGTTGGTAGATTCAGAAATTGTCAATGGTGTGGACTAATATTAGTAATAATAATTATTATTATTATTTTTTTTTAATTTATTTTTTTGAGTGAGCTAAAATTGACTATAGTAAAAGATGGGCTCAAGCCCACCAAGATACGCCCTTAGTTTTGTATGTCCTAATATAAAAAATTTATGGATTATATAAGACATTTTGTGTCCCATAAATTTGTGGTTTAATATGATACTTTATATTCAATTAGTGAATGATGTGTGTTGATCGGTTCAGTATTTGAATCGTGGTGTCCACTTAACTAAGGAAGTAATTTATATGCACATGAGAGTGTCACATGCGGTATATGAATTATAGGATTTGTGTTATTATAAATGGTTCATGGTCAATAATAAAAAAGATGAACTCTAAGATGTAGAGTAAGAGTTGTGAGAGTCGTCGACACCGTCATGATGAATGACTCAAGCATGACAGAGGTATCGACTCACTGTATTAATCAATAGTTACTTTGATTTATTAAAGGATAATGGATTTGATACAAACTCCATTCCCACCACGACCAGTTTTAATATTTTTCTCCCTCTTTTTTATTTATATCACTAGCGTTTCCATACAACCAAACGGAAGGTAAGACTGATGCCCTCCTCGAATGAGGTGACGAATATCCAAATCTTACATGCCAACAGCATGGGTAAAATGGACATTGGACCCACGTGTTATCCACCGAGACTACACAGCATGGTGTATGATGGACTAGCAATTCGACGCATCGGACAAGCGCCTCACACGGTTGTTGTTCCCATCTAATCTTCGTACAATAATGACTCCATTACTTTAATGTCTCCGTGCGTTGTTCCTAATGTACTCATCAACCTTGGTCCCACCTTTCTTGCTTAGGTGGGTCCTTCATATTTTATTTATTTTTATATTTTAGTAAATTAGACTCACTTACATAATTTTATTATGAAAATAAAATTAGAAAGATTATATTTCCTCCGTCTCGGTTTATAAGTGTCGTCACTGGGATATGTGACTCACAATTTTTGTGACTCACAAGTTTCTAATGACGACACTTAAACTGAGACGGAAGGAATAATATATAATGTGAAGGCGAGTCATAAGGTCCACTTATAAATAGCATAAGAATGTATTATTTGATTTTCATATGACAAAATCCCAAGAATAGTAATGTTTCTCAATCCGATTCTTTTCTCAAACTATTTGTGGGCAAATTTGCAGTAGATCAATTACTGATCATGAATGGTATAGTGCCTATGTATGAGGTTATGGGAAGCATGTCTTTCCATGTAAGAAAATGATAGTTACACCTATAAATTTAACCGAATATCGAATACATTCAAGTGGGATGCAAGATAAAATAATACATCTGATTATCATAGTTCTTAATTTTATGTTTAATGATCTAACTCGTGAAAATCAAGAATACTGCATTCATTGATGATCAAACCAAATAGTTCGTTTAGGTTTTGGAAAAAATCCTTAGAATTCTCTGAGAATTTCTTAAAAGATTAGTCTTTGAAACTACCTTCAAGTCCAAGAGTTGTCTTCCAACAGCCTTAAACCTTTTTATATGACAACAATAGACAACAGGGACAAACAAACATATATATCTAAGTTTTCCTTCACCAATTAAGTTACTACTAGAAAACTACAGTCCAAAGATATAAAATTATACTGTCAATTAGAATACAAATTGACAAGTATAACCCCAACTCATCAAGTTTCGATAATCACACCCTGAATTTTTTTTTTTTAATATTATAGTGTATAGAATCATTTTTTTATTATTGTTTATTTAAAAAGTTTCAATAAATAATTATATTCGATTATTGAAATTGAGAGCATTCAACTCTCCATTCGAATGTAATCTTCTGACCTATATATCATATCTCTTCAAATATCGTTTAGTTAAATAGACATAACAATACTACACGAAGAGACCGGATACATTATGTAATTTGCACTGGATACATTATGTAATTTGCACTGGAGTCTAAGAAAATAAATGGAAAATGATTAGGACACCATAAGGTCCATAGTTCAACTTGTATATTGAATGATTGATTGTCTGGACTGAAATTGTCAATCAAACCACAAAATCACACCCTAGTCGGGTACTTGTCCGAAAAAATCAAACCCAAGCCCTTAAAACTTTGTGTTATCATTAAAGCAATACAGTCATGTAGGTTTAAACTATATAGAGTATTGCCAAAGAAAATAGAGTTTTAGGTCTCACTTTATTGATCTCTGTATTGATTTATAGGTCATTTACTAGGGGTGGCAATTCATGATTATAAGTATAACTGTATGGTGTCGATATAAGAATATTATACTAAATAAGTAAATCAAAATTTAACCTATTTAATAATTGTGTCAAGAACCCTTAACGCTAGTCCAACCCACTTATTAAACGGATAAATATGTTAATCCGTTTATATGTTTATCAAAATAAGACATTTAATATTTAATTAAATAATAAATAATAAAAAATTTTGTCACAATTAACTCAAGTATTCTAAATAAGAAAAATAATAATAAGACGTAGACAATGTTTATATTAAAATTGACTTCACTATTCATAGTAATTGGATTTAAACAAGTAACATATTATATAGATCATATTCACGATTATAACATGTTGAGTTAAACAGGTTACATGAGTTAAATCCCTCAACTCTAACCCAACACGGTTAAGTAAACGAGTTAATCGTGTCAACCCGTTTATGATTCAAACCCGTTTAAGGTCAACCTAAACTTATTTATATCGTGTTGTGTTAGTGAGTCGTGTAGTAATTTGTCACTCCTATCATTTACGCAGCTATAGATTTCCCAAAATCACATCTCAGTCACATTATTTCAATTTAACGATGGAGGCTATGATTGTCATTTTGTATGCCTTCAGGAGCAATGCCGTGTACTCTAATTTGACTTCTTTGTTTAAATAAATTGAAACGTTTCAGTCATTAAAAAAAAAAAAAATGACAGATTAAAAGAGATTTATATAGAATGCGTTTACTTGTCACATTAAGTCAGCTAATTAGTTTTATCATTTTTTCACTAAAGTAATAACAATTTGACTGCTTTAATTTGACTAGATTAACCATGTGAAATGGATTGAAGACAACTTAAAAATCAATAAATAAAAACGTTTAATTATCATAAACTCGTGTTTAATTGCATAGTGATTAGTGCAATGGACCAACATAACAACTCCTAATAAAACTTGTGTACACATACCCAAACATAGTTAACGTGTTTTTTTTCCTTCTTCTTTGCATTTAATGTTAAATGGTCGTTACAATTCCTCTGTACCCTCAAGCAGGTAAAGTAGCCTTAAATGCTTCATTATTGATTATCCAAACCGTCAATACTTCTCAATCAATGCACATTACTTCCACATGAAATGACTTCACACTGTATATGATCCGGTGAATCGTAATAATGAATCGAATCGAGTGTGAGAAACTATCAAACACACACACATATACATATATGTATATACTATATAATAACAATATATATATATATATATATATATATATATATATATCATGATTTGGAGTCACATTATCGATTAAAATAACGATTCCAATCGTAATGTAACGAACTCAAACGAATATTAGTGTAAACCAATCAATTTATATAGATGTTTAACGATATCGATTCTTTAAAAAAAATTGCAAACCAAATACGACGAATCATGATAGCTATCTAGAACATGCTGTGAGACACCTAATTATTTTTTTAGGTCTAAGTTATCAAATGTATAACTTGTATGTGCACATAAAATGAAAAAATTGTTATAGAGAGGCTTAAATGTTGGACACATTTCAATATATTTGAAGTCGTGACTATTTCATATAAAAATATAAATTTATACAACTCTCTAATTACTTATCATTTTTCAAAATGAAAAATAAAAGAGTGCATTAACTTGAAGAATGAGGGTTAGGGTTTTCCAATCATTTTGCCAGATGACTTGTGGACCGACAACCTGGACTCAACCCTAAGATTCAAACAGTGGACCTGGTTATACCTGCCTATACACACACACATATATATATATACATACATATATGAATCCATCAGTCAGAAACACGTGTTGTACATACACAGGTCAAGATGTTTGACTTGACGACCACAGTCAAGAATTATATGAATACTCATTAATTACCATTATTAAGTTCCTTCTCTACTTTTTCCATCCTTTCTATCTCTCTCTATTTATTTGACCTTTTTCATTCTCACCTGTCACCGTTTCCATCTTCTCTCTTGTCACCTTCCCATTTTACATTCCCCCCCTTCTCTCTCTCTCTCTCTCTCTCTGAGTCGATACATACACGAATAAATATATATATATATATATATATCTTGTTTTTCCTCTAGTGATTCTTAGTTCATCTGCAACTTTCATGGCCGTTTTACCGACAAACTCTACATGTTTGGAGTTAACCATATCCGTTCCAGGCTTGAATTCATCTTCATCTCTTCCTTCCTCTGGTATGGTCTTTTTCTGACTCTCTCTCTCTCTGGAATTTAGGAATATGATTTCTTCAATTTTGACGGAAAGTTTAAGCAAACACACACATGCATGGTATATTTTGACCCGTCAGAGTTCGAACACTCATCATCTCCTTCTATCATCTGGACTAGATGCCATTGATTTAAGGGATAATATTTCCATAACTATAGGTTGATACAACTAATATTTTGGTATTTCAAATGGAATTTATGTGTATTATATGAAAATTTAATACAACTAATATATTTTTATGTGAACATTTGAAACAAATATGGTGGATTAGTGAAAGGTTTGGACATAAATCAAATACCATCATCAGGAGTTGACCAAGAGGAATGGACCATAAATGATGAAAGCAACTACAACGGTGGGAGTCCTCCTCGTAAGAAACTTCGTCTCACAAAGGAACAATCTCGTCTTCTTGAAGAAGGTTTTCGACTCAACCAGACCTTAAATCATGTAAGCGTCCATAAAAAATAAGAGAGAGCTCGTAACTCTTGTCATGAGATAGATTATCTTAATATATATATATATATAACTTTACTCTTGAATTAATTATTAACCCTATATCTCTCTTTTCTAATTAATAAAATTAAACAAGCATGTGCATGTTATTTATGCCTATTTATGTATAATTTATCTAATGATTTTGGAATTAATTTTAAAATTTGCAGAAGGAAAAAGAGGCATTGGCAATGCAATTGAACCTGAAGGCACGGCAAGTTGAGGTGTGGTTTCAAAACCGTAGAGCAAGGTACGACGACCACTTGTACTGTTTTGTTTTGTTTTTTTTTAAGTTAAAACAATTATGCACACACTGCCTCTTCCACGAGGTTTGAACTCCCGACATCCTATTCGGGAGAAAGGGGTAATAGTGCTCGACTGTGTTGTTAGGTGTATAACATAATTTTTGGGGGGCATTAATGATAATGTTGGTGTTGAATTAAAGTACAAAGAGTTGAAAACGCTCCGTCCTTCATTTGGCCACATCACAGCTCACTGCTTTCTACACATGCTAGTTGTAGAATTATTATACCTTTGTGTGTGTGTGTATATATATATATATAAATAGCCCGACTATTCAATATTAGTCGGATTAATATGACAGTTGGAGTTTGTATCATAACTCATTAATATATCGAGGAAATCACGAATATAACTGAAATCATATAGTATATAGGAGCAGTGTATTTGGCACATTAGAAACAAAATTAGAAAGTTAATTAACAGTTGCTATTTCGTTGTTACAGATGTTGTACACAAATAGCATGTTGACGAGAAGAGGGATATTTAAATATAAAGGGCAATGAATTTTGAATTAAGCTCCTACTAATATATTGTTGAATAATGATAAGTAGTGGTTGAAAGTCCGATGCATTTAACTTTTTTATATGAACGGGGAAGATGCCATCATAAGCACCATTTTTCCCGAGCTCTAACCTAATCTCTATCTCCCTCGCACCTCCTCCACCACTCTTCATCTCGATCCTTTCAAGCCATGGTGCTTTGGACAACCTAATCTCGGTCATGGGTATTGAGGCTCAAAGGAAACTCGAAAAAGTTTAACTCAAAATTCTCATTTTCTTTCAATGATTCAATCTTTATACATTAAAAAGGACATTATTTGCTACTCACGTGAAGTTGGGCGATCGAATATGTCCAACTCTCCTTGCTATCACAACTCTATATTGTTTGGTGAATGAGGTAACCCCACTTAAGCCCCATGGTTTTTGAAACTATAGTGCAAGAATCCGAAATTTCTGGTGCTAAACTTGGAAAGTACATTGATGTATGTCCAAATACTTAAGGGTCAAAGCATGCACATAGCCTCACACAAAGAGCCCATATATGCTTTTATACCAACATCCATAACCTATAAATTGCATGTGTATGTCTATCAATATATTTATACAATCTGTTTATGTATTTACATATATATACTCAGACTTGTCACAAACAGGGTTGGTGTCTCTACCTATTTGAGTTGGCTATATACCCTAAACCATTAGTAGAGGAAACTTCGACTGTTACTATCAACACTATGAGCAATCACATAGTTTTGTGTGTGTGTGTCCTGTAAGGAGCAATAACATAAGGTTTAAATTCCTGGAAGACCAAAAAGAAACAAAAAAATAGCTAGTCAAGTTTGGAAATTGTTATGTCCATCTCCCAAAGGTGGAGTTTTTAAGGGACAGTGAGACATGTTTGGGCACGTGTGTATGCCTATATTTACCAAGTGAAAAAAAAAAAAAAAAAATTACAATTTCTAAATTCGGAAAGAAGCACATATCACGAATGGGTCAGTGATCTAGCGGTATCAGCTTCTAACTTCTCAAAGGTAAAAAAAAAAATAAATAAATAAAAAATAAAAAAATAAAAATACATACCTGATATATTAATTTGGTCCCTACACATGTGCAGGAGACATTTTGGCTATAGAACTAGCAGCTCCCAAGATATTCTATCAATAATTAAGGATAGTATGAAATAATTTTGATGGATAGAGAGTCATTCATGCCCATGTGTTCTTTGGTTTCATGTGGTAGCTTTCTAGATCAATATTACACTCTTCTAGACTTAATTCATTGGTTATAAGTCAAGTCCATCAGATCATGAGTTACACTAGCTCTTTTACTATTTAGACCACCAACATGTTCTATAATTGAATGCATATAATGTTACTTGACTAATAATTAATTACCTACCTTTATAATTTGTCAAATCTTTCTACTATATCTATACATCTATCTATCTATATATATACACACACACAGTATGATCATAGTCATACATGACTTTCAATTTGTAAAGTGATTGATGTTATATTTGAAAACATGAGAGGGTTGCATTAATTCATATTAATCACTAAGCGCACTAAGTGATAACCTATTTCCTTATTTAGTAAGGAGTAAAAATTTTGAAGTTAGGTTTCCTTCCAAAAATTGAATATGCCCGTCTTTTTTGGCTTTGCAATTTGTCGCATCGATCCACTTGTTCTAATAGAATAGACGTTTGCGCGTTTTGATTAATTATTTAAGAAAACTTGACTTAGGCATGTTGATTAGTTCAATAATGTTGATTGAATTAATGTTATATATATATATATATTATACAGGAGCAAGCTGAAGCAGACTGAGATGGAGTGTGAGTACTTGAAGAGGTGGTTTGGATCACTGACGGAACAAAACCGGCGGCTACAGAAGGAGGTGGAGGAGCTGAGGGCCATGAAGGTAGGCTCATCCTCCGTGGTTTCGCACCACACTACTATGTGTCCTTGCTGCGAGCGGATCACCACCACCACCCTAGACAATGGCTCTACCAAAACCACCACCAACAACCGACCCCACCACCTTGTCGTCTAACATATTTGGCGGGTACTAGCTAGCTTCTTCTAGCCTAACTTATGGCCCCATGGAAGAAAAGAATTGATGGTTAAAGAATTGTTCAAAGTAGTAATAGGGTTCATTGCAATGTACTTTTGATACTAACATGGTACTGTATATATATTTAGATTGTATATATTTTTAGTACTAGTACTTCATCATATGGGTGCTATTGTATATATAGTACTCTTCTATTTGCCAATTATTAGACATTTTTTTTGTTGTATGGTTAGTCTTGTTTATATATGCTATTAAGTAAAATTACACACATTGGTTGACATAATGGTAAAAGTTTGACATAAAGGAGATTGTCAATGTAACTTAACTTATTGCAAATTTGCCTAGAGTGGAAGGATGAAGACGGAATACAACCTATTTTCGACCTAATTTGGGGCCAAAGATTCGTATATTTCAAATGATTAAAAACTCCTTGAGCCTTGAGTGAATTGAGCTTTAAATTCAATGGTGCATGCATAATTAGAACCTCTGAGAAGGGAGGGGAAACCAGTGTAATTAGGCCTAATTAAACTTGAGGAAGGTAAGTGTAATTGTCCCTTGTTTGTAATTAGGGCAAGCTAAATTAATTCAACTGCTTAACTTGATCAAGATGATTAATTAATTAATTAATTAATTTATTATTATTATTATTATTATTATTTTCCTGGCAAACAAAAACAAGAACAAACAAAGCTAACAATCTTTCGCTGCTAGCTCCAAGATATCAGCTGGAATATGAATAAGAGCAATATCACTTGAAATATGAGGCCGAGAAAGCTTAGCAAGCGCATGGGCGATTTCATTGCCATGCATACGGACATGACTAAAACGAGAATAGGAAAACCGCTCCAAAAGCACTTGCATATCGAAAGAAACCGAATGAATCTCCACTAGACCTGCATCCATACCATGAAGTGCCTAAACCACCACCAGCAAGTCACATTCAAACCAAACTCGATCGTAACACAAAGACATGGCCCATAGCATAGCGTTTCAAAGAGCCATAGCTTCAGCTTGAACCTCTTGATTAGAACTTAATTAGAATTTTTCTAAAAGATAAACACTTTTTTTATCCCTGGAAAGTAAGATGAATATATATTTATTGGATGGGAAAAAAGAAAAGCATTCAATCTACATGATCTTGGAATTTCAACAATTAAACCGAATATTATACTAGGCATACTTAAATAACATACATTTTAATTTAAAAATAAAAATAAAATGAAAATGGAAAACAATTTAAGAAGTAACTAAGAGACGTCCATTATTTGGTGATATTAATTCCTTTTTAGCTAGCTAGATCCTAGATGCCATATACACAAACATCATTACAGACTGGAATTTAAAGTCGAGGTCGGATGGTGACAAGAAAGGAGATCGAAGAAAGATTAGCAAAAATGGTGGACCACTGAACTCTTCGATCATGAAAGAGTTTTGGGCAAGGCATGTACTTGAGATGTGTGGAATATATATATATATATATATATATATATATATAGATCGATCATCCCCATTCACATAAGCCCAGGGAACACCTTCTTTCCTGTCTTAGACAAGGATCATACCTTACAACTAATCTTATTCTGTAGGGCATGCCCTAAATGGAGTCTTCCCAACTTTAGGCCATGGGACGACTTATTTTATTAATTAATTAGGTGTGGATTTTGACTTTTGCATATTTACACTGACTATTTTAACCTATTTGTTTAACAGAAGTGATAGTATGTATAAAATCAAATATGATCTCATTCACTACATCAAATAGATAAAAATGTTTGGCTCAGAATCAATCACGTGCACAAATTTGAGGCTATTATGAACTACATGATTCAGTAAGGAAAAATAGAGAACGATCGATCAGAGCCGTGAATTTGCCAGCAAATAATGTTGCTGCACCATGGTGCCCACACGAACATGATGGATCCCTGCTGTGTCTGTGTGTTATTTAACTTTTTTTGACAAGAATATTGAGCTACTCGTTATCAACTTATCACTTGCAAGTGCAATGATCGACCATGGTATTAATGTTCTCATCCTTCTTTGATGTCTCAAGAAACATTATATTTAGTATTGGCTCTGTCAATGTTGGGCTGATGTCGCTCGACAACTAGGCTAACCTTTAATTAATGTTAATTTTGAAAATGATACTACCTAGTTACAACTCTTTTTGAGTCCCAAAACCAAAAATGATCAAATGTAACATATATACCATTAGCCAACAGCACAAAACCATAGAAGGGAACATGTCTTTTGAAACAAAATGGCAAAAAAAATACGAGACCCAGACACCATCATTTTCGGTATTGAACCATAATTCCTAGCTCATAATCAAAAGTGCATAAGAAAATATTGAAATAGAAGGAAAGAAGGCCTAGAAATCGTCGTCGTCATCTCGGTACTTCCAAAACAAAAAATAATTTAACAGGGGACTTCCCTCACCACCCAACACCCAGAATAAATTCATCACCATTCCACTAAACTAATTGTCAGAAATGTGGAACATAATCTCAACATGTCTGAGAGGCCCATGAAATGTGTGTTCCCTTTTTGAAAATGATGATCTTCAGAAATTCCAAAGAGATCATGAGATGAGATTGTTGAATACGATACAACCTTAGCTGTCTTTTGGAAACTCAACCTTTTGGAGAATTTAGAGATAGAAAGAGATAGAGAAGAATAGCATATACTCTATCATCTTCAAAGAATGTTCTTTGATCACATGGTTGGCTTTGAAGTCAGTAAAGTATATCTATATCTATATCATGACATAACAAGCCCAAAACACAAAATCTTGATTGAAACATTGGTGCACCCAAATTCAAACATTTTCCAAGAAAAGTCAGAGTACAGAAGAGTTGTGGTCTTCATGGGCCGCCCGTGTACTTGGGCTACACTTTTGAGTGCATATTCAATTGTGTTCCTACAGAGTATGGGCTTATTCAGCTAAGCCCAATAATCAAAATACTAAACATGAAGATCATTGGTGGGCAACATTCCCATAAAAGGACATACATGTATGTGTATAGAATCGTGATATACTTACAGACCACTGATTAGTCGCGTGCCTCACAAATGTTGTGAGTCTCGTTGGAGTATTTGTAAGTTGTGAACAATGTAATACACTAGCTAACACCTAACTAGTCGGGTGTCTCACGTTGTGAGCCCCGTTGTAACAATTGTAAGTTGTGAACACTGTAATACACTAGCTGACACCTCGAATATCTCACGATATTGTAAGTCCTACAACAACATTGTGAGACACCCAACTGTCAACTGTTACGTATAGTCAAATTTTGCATTCCTCTTTTCCTTTCTCTTTTCCACTTGCATTAAAGAGAACCATGATCTTAGATTCTTTGATTAAAGTTCTTTGTAGCCTTTTTAAGTACACAACGTGAAGTGGGAAGTTTGGTTGGTACCTTATCCTCCCCAAAAAGAGGAGAAAGAAAGGAGGAAAGGGTAAAGTTACTGATCGAATAAAAGATAGAAAATGTGAGGTTGTGCAAAGTATGATGATTTTCGAGCTTGTAAGAAAGAAACACAAAAAGAGATTGAACACTATTGACAAATGCCAAATACAATAATTCGTTTAATTCTGTTATGAAATTAAGAGTAGAATCTCAAAATGTTCCTTTGCTTACGTGAAAGAAGAGGTATATTGGTTTGAATAGAAAGTAAAAAAGATCCAAAAAAGGCCAAAGTAATTTGAAATGAAGTAATAAGAAATCACTTTAAAGAATTAAATATGGTAAGAGAAGTGACTAATATTCATGGAACCCTCCCCAGGTGATAAACCACGGGGGCATTGGTACGGTGCAACCCCACGCCAGTCCCCCGGTAAGTCATAGGCAATTCAAGAATAATGTTATCTTTAATATGTCTTTCGAGTGTCAAACTATGAACCTCCTCCTCAAAAATATATATTTCATGCATCTGCTCCACTGGACCAACCTCATGAGTTATGAGTCTAATGGTTCATTAACAAGTACTGGACTCATTTTTTGTCCCAAGTAAAGTTTGTGTCACACCACCATCGCCCACACCCATGTTTAGCATTGTCAATGCTTACACTACTGCAATCAGCACTGGCATTGTCACTCTCACAATTTGGTCACCACCACCCACCTTCCCCGCACCAACATTGTCCTCACGGTGGTAGCATCGTGCATGGCTGGGACTATTCATTGTGACGAATGTAATTAGTAAAAGGACAAATTAAGTGCACGAAATTTCCGTTATTGTAGAGTTTAAAAAGAATTAAATGTACGTAGTTCTATCTTCGTTTGCAGAGAGATTATTTTCTTATTTTGAATATATGATTTCAAATGAATGAATGTAATTAATAACGGATATTAAATTCGCTCATGGAGACATAAAGGGGCGTGGCCCCCAAAATTTTGAAAAATATTGCAACGGGTAGAGATGTGATTTAAAGAATTAGAATTATTTGTACTGTGGTAACAACATTTGCTTCTCTGGCTCGCACTAAAAGCCTACCGGGATATGAAAATATCACTTAACTAATTATAAAAACTAGTACTCATGCTTGTTGCTTTAATTAAACTTCTAAATATATAATCTTATGTATTATGTTTTAAAACATACTTTGACTCCCATATTTATAATCGTTGAGTTCATTTGGGACATGCCAATATATAATATAGAGAGAGACAGAGACAAAGACAGAGAGATTTGTTGTAATCTAAAAGATCCCTTAATTTAATGTGGTAAATTATGCAGAATCTGCATTGGTCTGACTGATGTCCCAAACAGACCTTTTTGTTTGTCGTCCTCTAGAGGAATTTTATGGTGGGTAAGCTTCACTGCAAAAAGGTATCACTTATTCGTGGAATCGATAATTTAATTTAATCATGCATAGCCAAACATAACTGATATTTTAGGCGTCTAACAACTGATTGTGTTTATTACCAAAAGTTACGAAATTAATCAATCATTAGGAATCCCCAAATCATTTGAACAAAAAGATTATTTTGGGCCCTATTCTGGATTTTTTTTATTAATAATGATCATAACTAACTTTAATATATGCGTCTCCAAATTCAATTTTCATCCATGTTCGCTAATTTCTCCATCTTTCGGCTCTTAACCACCCATTGTGACGTGGGTTATGTTTCCACCATAATGTTACCATTTGGAAGTGGAGTTCAATCATCAAGAATAATAATAAATAGTTTGAGAATCA